GATGCTGGTCTCTGTGTGTGTCCCTTTGTCATTTTAGGCATGGGAGGGCTGTGACACACAGCTGGGAATGGGGGGGAATCATTTGGCATTTTCAGTGAAAAGGAAGACTTTGCACCATTTGGTAGCCAAATTAAACCTGTTTTCAACTTACAAACTGGCAGGAAATTATGCGGCTGTTTTTCAGCGTTTGTACTGTCAGAGGATGACAACACTTGAGTGCTCTGGAGGTTTTGAAATTTCGCATTTCAGGCTCACTTGATGAATCTTTGCAATCTCTGGAAGATTTCTTTTGGACGTGAGAAAAACTGCGTGACCCCCAGACTTACTGAAAATCACGTCCTCTGGAACCTTGCTAAACCACGGAGATCTGAGGCAACAGCTTGGCCTCCGATTTCCCAAAGCATCCTCTCTTCGACCCGACCCAGCTGGGAACTGCAACACAGGGCTGCAGGATGAGCCGTTGCTCCTGCCAGCTGGCCCTGCCCTTTTCCATGGCACTCCCTTCCGTTTCCCTCCCTGTTTTCTGCTTCTTCCCGAACAGAATTTCTGCAGAGGCAGAGAGGGCTCCATCCTGAGCCGGTTGGGGTTTGCAGGCAGGAGGGCCCGTTTCTCTTCTGCTGAGTTTCCAAACGCCTGCCCCATTTTGGCAACAGTCTCCTCGGCCTCCGTTGTTCACTTCCTGGGCAGAACAGTCAGATTTTAGCCCTGGTTCCCTGAAGAGGTCCTGGGGCTAAATACCACCTCCAGTTTTAGCTCCCCTGTCTGGGAGGGGCACTGGGCTTTTGTCTTGCCAGCCTCAACCCAGGTGGCATCCGTGTCCAGCAGAGGAGAGTGCTTGAAAGGAACCAGCCCACAATTCGGCCTCTGGTGAGGTGGCACATTCTAAAAATAAGAAACCCCAGAGGCTGTGGAGTAAAAAAAAAAGGCTCAATTTTCTGCCTCTGCTCTTTGAAAAGAGAGTTGAGCCCTTTGTCCCTCTTGCCGGCTGCTGCCCCCCTGCAACCCCCCCCCCTCACGGCGCTGGCTGGCTGCATATCCTCAGTGTCAAATCTCTGAGCCGAACCAGCTTTAAGCCTTGCTGAGTCTGAGAGGCTCTAATGGACTAAAAGCCGAGGGCATAAATAAACTGTGGGGAGGGTTCCGTGGGGGTGGCTGCTAGGAGTGAGGTCCCAAGAGTCAAGACAAAGACTCCATCGGTCAACTTCCGCCAGGGAGGAAGGGTATGAGATTGTAATTTTTAAAACTTTAACTAGAGTTTTTCAGGCCGGAAGTGTTAACTTTAGGGCAATTTGGTGGCTGAAGGATCAATATGCACACTGGTTGCTACTTAGAAAAAGCAGCCAAAAATACCTGAAAATGCTTCACATCAGAACCACATCTTTTTCACACACCCCAAATGCCATTCCTTGCATGTCTCAAGAACATTTTCTGTTTGCAGCTGCAGAGGGCAGCCTAGAGGGACAGAAGTGCTTATTGCCGCCATCTAGTGGTGCATCTAGAATTCTTTAGCAGAAAATTAGGAATAAAGATTGGATTGGACCAGACCAGAGCATTTAAGCACCACCCTGAAACCCATTCTCCAAGGCAATTGGCCGTGGCTTTCTTGCCAGCTGGTGATTTTGATGAGGCCAGGAATCTCCCTCAAGGAAACCACCAATTGCTGCTCTTCCAGCATGGTGTGACAGGGCTTTTCAGATGTTTCCATTGCAGAGTTTTGCTCAGAACACACTGAGGGCACACGAAGGCAGCATGATCGACACCCACACGAATTCCTCCCAGGTCCAGGTGTTGCAACATCTGTATGTCATCCCGCTTGGCTGATCTTCTCTAGGTGGAGAAGCTGCAGAATCAGACTGGCTTAGCATTCGGTTGGGACATCCCTCTTTCTAAAGTAGACTGAGACATTTAAACCATCTTGGAAAGAAGGTGATAGCAAACTAGGTCCTCAGGGTTGCGAAGGCATCTCCATAGAGGTGACCTTGAAGTCAGCAGGCCTTGAAGGCAACCTGAAGGAGATTCAGGTCAAAACAGCTCTGACTGGACCAAGAGCAAATTGAAAAGAAACTAGCCAAGCCAAGAATGAGAAAGATTCCCGAGAGATTGTACTTTTAAATTCTTCTTCTGAGGGACGCCCCGAGCAGGCCGTGTCATCCAACAAGTGAAGCGTGCAAGCAAATGGAGTGCAAATAATTTCCAGCTTGTGGCCAGATTAACGGTCTGAGCACCAGAGCAGACAAGGGACTGCAATTTATTTTATTCTTGTACTCCTGGCTTAGCTCTGTGCCAAGTAAACAATCAGGTGGGTCGGCTCACCCACAGTTTTACTTCCTTTTCATGGGAAGCTGCTCTCCAAAAGTATCAGGGAAAAAAAGTGCAAAAGGTGGAATGTCAGGTAGCCCTGGAGACTCTGTCTCCTGGGGGGGGGGCTACTCTGCAAGATGGGTCCCAGGCCCAGACATTGTTTTGCACAACGGGGTTGTGAGGCTGTAGCGGGCTGGGTAGAAGGGCTAGCCTAGAGGCTTGAGAAGGTGGGACAAAGGCAAAAAGGGCAGGCAGGCAGTGCCAACAACATCCAAGAAAATGGCATGGACAATGCCAGGGGACACCAAGGGCTGGGCATTTCTCGAAGCCAACTTTGTTCTAAATGGGGTCCAGAGTTCCTGGGGAAAGAGAAGGCTAAGTAGAACAGGAACAACAAGCGAGTTTTAGCACAATGCCAGATGCAGATGCCTCCACGGGTTGTGTGTGTTTGTGAACAAAAGTTAACATGGCAGCCATGGCTATACACTCAAAGCCTTGCCCCTTTTCTGGGTGCATCACTGGCTGCCATCTTGACCTGTGTGACACCCCCTCCGAGGACTCCCCCCCCCGTATATTTCGTCTCTGCCATTGTTGTGTAGCTGTGCTCCCCCCCCCCGGCAATTATCACGTCCTCTTCCAGAGCTCGTCTTTTTTAGAAATGTATTAAGGGCAGCAGAGAGAACGAAGGGTGGCCACTTCCTGCCCACAAACTCTCGAACATGCAAGTTACCGAAATGGAGGAAGAATATTTGTAATGACAGAGGAAGCTGGCCCCGATTTCTAAAAGCAGACAAGCACGGCTGGCAAGTGGATGGGCGGCCCTGGCGAGTCTTGCTTGCAAAAAGAAGACACATGGCATGGCTGGCCTCAGGTGTCCGTTTACCAAGATGGAAGGAAAATGCAGCTGGAATCAACAGCAAGTTCCAAAACAGCTCAAGCATTTCTCCTAAGTGGCGTCAAGTTGGTCTTCAGAACAGGGAAGGCCACTGAAGTTTCCTCATGCTTAGTGTGGCCTGGACCCATCTTGGGGAAGAATGTCCACTTGGGCGTCCTGGGGGTGGAGGATCAGGTTTGATTAGGAGCAGAATCAGCCTCCTAGCAGAGCAATCAGGGAGGGGTGGGTGGCGTTCAGCTTTAAAGAGTTGAGGTTCTTCCAAACAGCAAGAAATGACTTGAAAAACCCCAGGGCAGGATTGAGTCACTGCTCGAAACGGGCGTTGGAGAAACATGTCTGAAGCCTTCTTTGGGTTGGGTGTCATTTTCCCCTGACAAGGGCACCAAGTTCCCTTACCAAGTCCTTCATGATACACCCCCCCACACACACACCCAATTCCCCGCCTTCAACTGGAAAGCTGGGGGGGGGGGTTAACACTGCACCCATTTCCATGAGCTTGAGAAGAGAAGGGGGAGGCCGGAAGTTTGAGAGGAAGTGAGCGAGGTGAGGGGGGGGAGCAGAGCAGGTGGCTGGCATTTTTGTGGGTCTCGCGGTCCTTTCCAGGCTGCTGAGCTTCCTGTGAGAAAGGCAGCCATTAGCAGGGGAGCCTTGCAACGTCTTTTCTCGCAGGGAGACAGGCAGGACCAGCCCTGGCTACGTGCTACGCTTTGCTTGCCAGGCGCTTGGCAGATGGCAGCGCTGGGTGGCTGCCAGCCAAGCAAGCTCCATCTTTATGAGAGCCTCTCTTGGCTGTCCACCAACCGGCTACTTGGGAGGAACCTGTGAGCAGGGACGGCCGGACCATTTAACTCAGCAGCTGAGGAAGCAAAGGCTGCTCCACGCTCTCTCTCTCTCTCTCTCTCTCTCTCTCTCTCTCTCTCTCTCTCTCTCTCTCTCTCTCTCTCTCTCTCTCTCCCCTCCCTCCCTCCCTGAAGGAGGCATCAGACAATCCCCAAGGAGTTTGAAGCTTCTTTTAAAAAGGCTCCATTGATTCACCAATGTTAAAGTCTTAATAAGTGCATGCTAAAATGGAGTAATGCAAGGACGCTCGGGAACGCCCAGTGCCTTTGATGGCAGCTTTTTCTAGCAGGTGCTGCATGTGGCTCCTTTCTCCACAATAGAATGGATTTGAATCCTGAGATGCTGCAGCCATTGTGGGAAAGAGAAATGTGAGATATTTTTTTTAATTATTATGTTCATTTTCTAAGTGGAGAAGTTTCTACCTGGAGCAGAACAGCTGGCAAGAACAATGCTCAGAAGACAGCTGGCAGCTGCTGCCCCCTGGTGGCAACTGCATTTCCCCACAGGCAATGAAAGTCCTGCTTAGGGTGGGGGGGGGGCCTGAGGCAGGTGGGCTGTCCCACTTGCTCAAGTGCTATGACTCTCAAGCCAAGGTAAGAAAAAGGCACCGGGATTAGTGCAATCCGGATGAAGGGCTTGTGGCTTTGCTGAAAGGAAAGCAGCAATGGAAGGGCCTGAACGGGGCCCTTTGGGGACTACAACCTGATGGAGGAGGAAAGGTCCAAGACTGAGCGGTGAGATGGCCATTCTGCACCCGGCAGGAGAAAGCCCAGTCCAAGTCCAAGCAGTGCATCGGACTCTTGGCTGGACCCTCTCCTCATTCTCAGCCAAGGGAGAGAAAACGGGAAATGTCCCCAAGAAAGCTGCAAGTGTAGGTGAAAATCAAGGCAGCAGCATCTGTTGCTCACAAGTAAGCGGGCTAAAGCAAGGAAGCCCTCAATTATTTTGCAAAGCATCGCCCCACTCTTTCAGATTCTAAAGTAGCTTTATTCCTTCTAAGAATAAAGTTTACTAAAATTTGACACAATTCTCCCAATAGATGCATCTGGTAGACACAGTGATGAAATCAGACATCCCGACTTCCTCATCCCTTGATGTGATTTATATAAATGGCACAATTTACGTCATTTGCACAAGGACTGCATTACAGGGGTGATGTCATCACCCCAATCCGGTGGATGTGGGTGCCTCAAAACAAGGTTGAAAAGGGGCTTTCTGGGCCAAACAAAGAAATAAACAAGCAACCGTTGGAATTTTGGGTTCAGCTGAGTCACACGGGTGACCCTTCCCATCCACGTGAGGCTGTGAAGAGGCAGAGATGGAGATACCAGATGCTGAGGATGAAGCCTTCTCCTGGGGAGGACCAAGAGCTGGAGAGCTTCCTCAGCAAGTACCTTCAGTCTTGGCCACTGCTCAGGTGAAAGTAGGATCTCTGGAAGGTACCATCTCCATTGAGAAGGCTCCTCCCCAGCTGTGGTTGATGAGGGTCATCCCCAAGTAAGTCCCAGATAACTGGTGGCCCTGGAGGGCTGACCTCTTTCCAGCTTTGGCCTGACTCCATCAAAGAAGGGGGCTATGGCAGAGTGACCATCCGGCTTGCAGTGCGTTCTGCCACAAAATGGTGTTTGTGCCTCAGCCCAGAGAATCGCTCATTCAGGGTCACGCTGGTCTAAAGAAGAAAGACACAATTGGTGCCAGGTTGAGTTTGTAGAGAGAAGATAAGAGGAAATTCCCCAAACAGGAGCCAGATGTGCATGTAGGATCCCTCACTGAATGGGAATTAGCTTCGTCCAACCTTCCACATTCCGAAGGCCTTCCTCTGGGACTTCAACTCCCAGAAACCTTTGCCAGGGAGGCTCCAGGTGGGAAACCCTATTTAAATTCTCAAAACTGGACCACCTGTCTGATCCAGTTCCTTCTTTGCAAAGCTGCATAGTCTGGACTTGTAGAAACCCTGATGGAGGAGGGGAAACAGGCAGTTCCAGGAGGAAAAGATCACCAAAGATCCCAGTGAACTGACTGGGAATCTACACTGCTCTTTCCTTTTTCTGCTGAAGGTCACATCATCCATCTCCATCAAGCATCAGGTGATAGGACTGATGGCCCAAATCCCTCACACGTGCGCACCCATCGCTTAAGCCCCGAAATATCTGATTTCGATCTTCATCTCATCTGGAAAAAATACTTAGGGCGCCCAGCCCTCTTTCCTTTCCTTCCAGGGTCCCTGTGGGGTCATTTCTGCCCTGGGAGAATTCTCTACCTGGTTAGCCATAGCCCGGAAGTTGAATCTGAGCGTCACTCCTCTCGGCTGCCGGCGGAGCTGCGGGGTCTGCCTGTTCCACCTTCTCAGGAAGGGTCGCTTTGCTCCCGGCCTGCAAAAAAAGCCAGACAGTTCTGGGGGTGGAAGTCCACACAATCTCCAAGTCACCAAGGCTGAGAAACACTGGACTGCAGAGATGTGAGAAAACAGGCTGTCCCATTTGGTGATTAATCTGATCTTTCAAAATCTATTTATTTATTCATTAGATTTATATGCCTCCTAAAATCCAAGCCACGTTATTCTTTTTCACCCGCTGACACACCAAGGGTTGCCTGGTGGTGCCAAAGCTGACGAGGATTCAGAGACGCCAATCCCTGGCCTGCGTGTGTGGCAGAAAAACCTCGGTGCCCCCCTTGCTTGCCCGTGGAAAGTCCTCCTGCAGTTCATTCCAAAGGTGCTTTCTCAGAAGGCAGCTGGACTTTGTTTTACCTTGAAAGGACGTTTCACTTCTCATCCAAGAAGCTTCTTCAGTTCTGACTGAATGGTGGAGACAGGAAGGATTTATACTCCATTCCCCACCGTTCAGTCAGAACTGCAGAAACTTCCCGGATGAGAAGAGAAACATCTTCAAGGAAAAACGAAGTTGCCTCTTGAAAAAGCGTCATTGGGACGACCCTGACCTGCATGACTGAGAATCTCCACAGACTTCCTCCTGCAGATCACAGAGGCAATGCAGACGTAAAAGAGCTACTGGTCCAAGGCTCACAGTCCCAGGCCCCCCAAATCTAAGTGTCTCAGGAGGAAACATACCCCTGGAGGTGGCCTGCCTGGGGGTTGGACACCGAGACAGTCAGGACCGCTCCAGAAGTGGGCTGCGTTCTCCACCTGCCAGAAGAGCGAAGCCATCATTAATCTGTGTGGACAGTGACAAAGTTGAACAAGGTCTCTTCTTTGTTGTTTATTTACCTTCTCATCCTTGAAAGCTTCTGCTCCATTTTGGACTTGATTTGCTGTTGAAGGAATAGGAAGGGCAGGCATAAAAAAATGAAAACAAAATGGTTTGTTAAATGGCTAAAACAGGAAGACTTCCAGGTTACATACCGCCTAGATTACTTTAAAAGAATTAGACAAACGTATGGAAAAATACATGGATGAATGCAGCATCCCTGTTCAAAGACAGTTTGTCGTGAAACAGCAATTGTGGAAGGCACAGGCCAGACCGTATTGAGCAGCAATACAGTAGAACTTGGACCTCATTCACATATTTCTGGATGCTTCCAGCAGAGAAGGAAAAAAAAAACAATAATGAAGCAGCTGGTTATGCCTCAACTCCTCATCTTTAAAATGGGTAAATAATGGGGACTGAATTTTCAGAGTTAGTGCAAGAAGTGAAGGAAAATAAAATATGCCAGTGGAAAAAATGCTAAGGAAAGAAAACTGACCCGTTTGTTGAAGTTAAATTTGATTTGGCTCTGGAGGAAGGCTCGTCCTTGGTTTAATCGGAAGGGTCTGCAGTTGGCAGAAAGAAAAGGGTTTCCAGTTAAATATAGCCGTAGATGCTGTTCTCAAATCTGTAATCTGAACCGAGGTGTGTACAAAGTTTGTTATTTGAGGTTCCCAAGTTTGGGGTTACACCTACATACTCCTTGGACCTTCAACCAGGGCCTCACATTTGCTCTCTCCTCACCACCTCACCTGGATGCTGAAGCCTCGTGAATCACGTTTAAACCCACCAACCTCCAAAATGGCAGAGACATCCCTGCTGCTTTGAAGGCTTCGACTCTTGCAGGTGCTGCTGGCTGAGAGTCCAGGGGGGGTCCATCACTGCTCCTGCCTGGGGGGGCTTTCCCTGACTTGTCCTGAAAAAGACGCCCAGCAACTCACCACCTCGGCTGCTCTGGCCTCTGCAGGGTTGTGCTTCCTCACTCGGAGCCCTCGGAAGCTGGGGTGAGGAAGGGGGGGTCTGCTCCTACCTGCTGGGCAAAGGGTGGCCGATTGAGGGGGCTCCTGCCCTGCATCTGCCCCGCTGCTCTTGGGCCTGGGGTGTTCATCCTGCTCCAGAAGGGCTTCCTAAATCCTTTGGGAAATCCTAAGGAAACGCCAGCCTTTGATTTGGATTCCTGGGTAGAATTCCCTCCTATCCCAGAGGGATTCATTCAGTGTTTGACATCCCCTGCCCCCCCCCCCATTCTTGGCAGGAATTGCCCCAGACCCCAAGACTTTCTTCTTCTTTTTCATCGACCTGGTTGCTTCTGTCCACAGAAGAGTTTTTCAAATGAGGTTTTTCAAAATCGGGGACCTTTAATACCTGCCAAGCCCACCCAAAACCCAGTTGCCCCGAGGGGAACCCCCTAACGCAGCCTGGGTACAGTCCCACACTAGTGGACGTGTTCCCCGGCATCCCTCTGCTCCTGTATCTTTTGCCAGCAATTTTGAAGTCGATTTTCTGTGTGTGGCAATGCCAGCTCCTTCAGCCTTCCCTTGCAGGGGAGGCCTCTCTCCAAAGGGCAAAGGGCACCAGCCCCCTTGGCTGGCTTTCTTCTTCTCCGGTCCCTTCCACCCACCTGGCATGGTTGGTGGGCCCCAGCTCTGGAATTGAGGCCTCCTGTTGCCAGAGGCCCCATTCCGAGTCTTCAGCTGCTGCCGCTGCTGCCAGGGCTTCCGGATCGGCTGGGCCTGCTGGTTACGCTGGATGATGTCATCTAAAGAGGGCACAGAGGCAGCTGCCCCACACTCTCCCTGGCACTCCCAAGGCACCGATGCCCAGCAGGGAGAGGTAAGGAAGGTTGCAAGGGGTCAGTTACCATAATGGTAAATTTTGTTCTTTGGTTAAGAACAAAAATCCTCACATTTCAGTGGGAGGATGCTTACCGGAAGCGAGATCGGCCGTGGTACCCCAAGTAGTTTGAAAGGGGGGGGGGGGAACCCAGGCACTTTCCTCGCCTATTAAACTAGTAGCCCAAGGACCTTTGGCCCTTTCCAGGCAGCTGCTGTAAGGAGAGGGGAGGGGGACGCTTTGCCACTGCCTTGTTTTCCGACTTGCAACCCAGAGCTATTTCCAGCCAGCTGACAAGGAGGGCTTGGATGTGCCAGGGAAATGCTTGGCAGCCTGGCTCATCCCCCTCCAGAGAGGCTGGCAGGGTGCCGGCTCTATTTCTGGCTCTGGGCGCTTGGAAGGGGGAGGGGCAGCAGAGGTCCCAGATGCCCCTTTGAGGAGTGGGGGGGGGGAGACCTGAGCATCGGGACAGGCCTGGGGGAGTCTGGAAGAGGCAGAAAAGTGAAGTGGGAGAACAGCCGCGGGGGGGGGAGGTTGGGGTTGGCTGAAGTCCCTGTTTTCGGGATGGGGGTTGGTTTCCCCCGGGTTTGACAGCGTGGGAAGGGGGGAGGGCTTGGGGGAGCCGGAGCACCGCCAGAGGAATTTTTCCTGATTCTCGGACGCCCCCCCGCCCCATGTGGCTCCTCCCGGGCGGCTGAAGGGCAGTCGAGGGGCGTCTTAGCGGCGGCTTCCCCCGTCTCCCCTTCCTGATCTGTCCCCAAGCGAGGACAGCCCGCGGCCCCCGACCCTTCCCCGGGAGCCGAAATCTCACCCAGGGACAGGTCGATCTCCTGGCCGGGGGCGGCGGCGGCTCCCGGCTCCTGCTGCCCGGCGCCCGGCACCTCCATGGCTGGCGACGGACCGGGACGAGGGCAGGTCCAGCCGCCGCGGGACAGCCCAGCCCCCGCCCCGCGCGCCCCGCCTCCGGGAGTCGTCCGAGCCGCCTCGTCCCGGCGAGCGCAAAGCCAGGCGAGCAGCCGCGGAGGGAGCGGGGACCTTCCCCCGGCTCCCTTCCAGCCTTCCCGAAGCCACCCCAGCCCTGTCCTCCCCTCGACGGAGGGCTCAGCCTCCAGACCCGCGGGCGAGACCCTCCCTCTGGGCGAAGGCTGCCCCCCTCCGGGGCCCTGGGGGGCGTCCGCCAGTCCTCCCCGGGAGCGGAGCCCAGGGCGCCCGGAAAGGTGGAAGCCCAGAAGCTGCGGGCGGGGGCGCGGCCACTCAGCCCTTCATCTGCGGGGGGGGGGAGGGAAGACCGGCGCCGCGGCTGGTGCAGTAGGGCTCCCCTGAAAGGGCAACGCCCCCCCCCCCGTTCCTCCCTCGACCGCCCCGGCCCCAGGGAGAAAGGAAGCGCGGCCAAGATTAAAAACTGAATCACCTTTATTCGTTGCTACTTCTAAATTGTGGCCCTTCAAGCAGTCCGAGGGCGCCCCCCGTTCTCCGCGAAATCTCTCCCCCACCCACACCCCACACCCGGTGCTGGAGACCCAAGGCGCCCTGGTCCCTCCGGCAGGAGACCTCCTCCCCCCACGCGCTCAGGGCACGATCCGCATCTGGGAGTTGGGCTCCTCCAGCTTGAAGAAGGGGAAGATGCGCTCGCCCAGGAAGACAGCGTAGGAGAGCAGCAGCAGCGGCTCCCGTGTGGCCCCGTTGAAGAAGTGGACCGTGCCGCCCTCGTAGTCCAGGTAGAGGCGGAAGCAGCTGGTGCCGGAACGGCACTCGGCAGGGGGCAGGTGCTCGGGCAGCAGCGCCCAGATGCCGTCGTCGTCGGAGATCTTCACCGGGCCCTTCCTGGCCACCGAGTCCTTCATCACCCCGAAGGCCCAGCCGTGGCCGCTCGAGGTCACCTCCACCTGCCAGCAGTGCCGCCCCGCCGCAAAGCCCTCCTCGGCCAGGATGCAGGGCGTGGTGTCGAAGGCCTGGCGGCCGGGGAGCAGCCCGCTGGGGGTGGCGTCGTGGGTCACAATCTTCTTGGAGGCCGACAGCAGCAGGTGAGGGTGGGCCGTCAGGCGGTCCATGGTCACATTGGCTTCGGGGGCGGAGGAGGAGGAGGAGGAGGAGGAGGAGAGAGACACATGTCAGAAAGGGCAAGGGTGACAGCCTGGGGGGGGGGCAAGTTGACACCCAGCCAGCCAGCCAGCAAGGGGGCTAAATCTGATTCCCTCTAGCTTTGTTCTGATTGCTGGGAGTTGTAGTCCAGGTACTCCTGGAGAAGCATTGGCTTTTATCCCACATGACAGGCCAGGAAGTCTTGGCCCAAGGGGGCAACTCTTACTCCCCATCTGGAAGCCGGCAGGCATGGCAGGAGGAAGGGCCCTCCCCTCTACTACCCCCACGGGGCCGTGAGTCTCCCTGCCCTCCCCCAGGAATGACCCAGGAGCCAGCAGAAGCAGCCAAGGCTTCCCTCTTCTCCTAACTGGTGGCTGGTCTCAAGACTTGGGAAGCTTCCCGGTTCTTGGATTGATCAGGCTGCTTTCAGTTCACAGCAAAGACTCCCATGGCTAGCTGGGGAATTCTGGGAACTGAAGTCCACAAGGTCTTAAAGCTGACAAGTTGGGAGACCCCCAATGTAGGCCATTAAACCACAGTGGTTCTTCTTTTCCCACCCTTCCGAGGACCCACCTCTTTCCACGACGGACACCAGGGGAAGGGCATCTGGAGAGAAAGAGGAAAGAAACAGCAAGACCATCTTTTTTGGGAAAGGAGAGGAATGAAGAGGCCTGGGGTTCCCTCTAGTTAGCAGGGAAAGGAAAACGCTCTTTTGGCTTTGTCAGGCATCGCCCCCCCCCCCGTCTGTCTGGCCAAGGCTTCTCAGTGCTTCAGCCCCACAAGAGTGGCCATCTTCACATGTGTCTGGTTGTGTTAATCTAGCCCATTTTACCACAATCCAACCAATCGTGGCTTATTCAACAGATTTCGCAAAACCCTTGGACAAGCTTTCTCTCAATCATGTTACAAACACAGTTACTCCGTAGGGCTTGCATTAAGGTAGCTTTTACAGCCCTTGCCCAAGAAATGCTGGGGGTGCAGCAAAGCCCCCCAAGTTGCTACTTGCCCGCTGTTAGAGCCTGCACTGAAATAAATCTTAGCATCCCATTCAGTTCCCTAAACCTTGCCGTCTGCTTCCTGGTAGTTGCTTAGCGGGGCTTTCTGTGAGTCCTCCTGGCTGCCCATCCCTGAGCAAATCCTTACCTCTGCACCTCTTCAACGTATTAGCCACAAAAAGACTTCTGAGGGCGAGATCCCACATTTTCTCCTTGAAGGGAGGGAATTGTCCTTCCGGAGGCTGATCCAGAAGTTCTTTGCACCTAGAGACACCCAGCAGGGAAGGGATTATCTGCCTGCCAGAAGTTGGCAGGACACCTTTAGGGTTCTGTGAGCAGCAGGCAGGTTGTAGAGTTTCGCTGCCCAGGACTATGCAAGGGGACAAATCAGAAGCCTTTCCACGTAGAGCAAAGGGAGAAATAAAGTGCCTCAAGAACAGTCAAAGATTTTGGAAGGAGCCCCAGCTTTAAGAGAACAACAGGAAAAATAGAGTTGGTAGAATAGTCCCACACATTGCACTACATCATATTATTTTGTTTGCATTGGGGTTAGGAAGAGGTTTGAATTAACTATCATTTACAACCTCCCACCCGCCACCCCCGTTGAACTCAGCCTATGAAGCAGACATAGGCAACAAAACTAAGTTAAAATAAAGCCATTTAACCTAAACCAGGTTAGGCGCGATATGCCAGCTACCTTGTTACTACTTGTCATGAACCAATAACAACTGCAGCCTGCAATTCGTGTCCGTGGCAAGGATTAAATTGTTATTGATTTCATATACAAAGCATTTTAAAAAGCAGCCCTCCTGAGCTCCAGCAGGAAACACAGGCCCTAAGCTCCAATCGGGGATTAGCCATCATTAACAATTACTGGATGCAGCCCACATCCTTTTAATGCCTTTTGGTCCAGCTCAAGGAGTCAATTTCCTCATATTTAACTTCTGTGTGTAGCACAGTGACCTAATATGGCAACGAAGGAAGCTGTGTGTGTGGGGGGGGAAACGTCACCTACCTGTCCGTCACCCCTTTGATATCCTGGAAAGAAAAACAGAAAAGACACGGGCTATAAAGCAGGCTTAATGGCAAGTGCTGGAAGCAAGCAAGGGTCCTCCTCCCCTTTGATCCAAAGCAAACATTGAAGCAGGGGCTCCTCCAACTTTGGCCACCTTAAAACCTGTGGATTTCAGCTCCCAGAATTTCCCACCAGCATGGCCAGCTCAGGAATTCTGGAAGCTGAAGTCCACAGGTTTCAAAGTGGCCAAGATTGGATGGTACCCCTGCATTAAAGGCTCAGAACCCTGTCCTTTTTTCCAAGGTTTTCAGATCCTTTGGGCTTGGAATAGAATATCTCAATACAGAAGAGCGAAAAGAGTGGAGATAAACTTGGAGGCCAGGCCCAGCTCTCTCACCCCCCCCCCCGGCAGTTGATTGCTCATCGCCGAACCTCATTAATTTGGACCCCAGAAAGGTTGTACTCTTCCCCTCCCCCCCTTAAGTTGAACATCTTTCCTGAGTGAACTTTCTACTGGGGAGGAGGCTTGTGTGATTCAAATGCAGTCAGCAGAGAGGCAGAAATAGTCCCCTTTAATTGGGAACCCCCACTTGCCCCACCCTCCAAGGAAAAGCCATCACAGAGTCCAAAAGCTTTTGCTTAGTGAATATGGCCAAATCGCCAATGCTTTCAAACACCTCATCTTGTAAGGAGGCTGCGTCTGTTGAAGAACTGCCCTCCATCCCACTTCACGTTCCCAGTTCCTGGAGGCTCCTGACCAGCCTACCTTCAGGAATTCATGCGCGGGTTCTTCAAACTTCCTCTCCAGCTCTTTGGTGAAGGTCCGGATGTAATTGTGCTTCCTTGCCAGCCTGGTCATCTCTTCCTCAATCTGTTCATTGATGCACTTGGCTGCCGTCATCTGGTCCGAATGAGCCATCCTCACCACCTCATACATCTCCTTATATCCCGAGCCAAATCTCTGATTGTCAAGCTCCATAATTTTCTACAAAACAAAGCCATCTTAAGGAAGGGGACCCCCCCTCCCCCCTCCCCCCTCCCCATAAACAACAGCCCTGGCTCCTCCCCAGAGAGAAGCCAAGCGAGGGCCCTACCACCAGGTTTTCTTTTTCCGTTTGCACTTCTGCATAGCTGTCGTGGAGGTGTGCCCTCTGAACTTTCAGAAGCTTCAGAAAGACGTTGACTTCAGTCTGAAAAAAGAGGACCAGGTGCTGCCTTTGATCCTGGAGGAGTGCAGATCAAGACCCCTCCCAGCCCTGAGCATTTCTTTGGTGGCCCTGGCAAAGCTACCTCCAGGCCAGAGGAAGCCCGTTGGTTGGCTGCACTCTGAATTTGAGTCTGAAGGCAAACTAACTCCTCAGCTGATGCTTGCACACAAGTACAAAAAAACCTCTACACAGTGCAAAGTTGTATATATACCTCCCTCCTATAAAGTTGCTGGCCTTATTGGCTGCTGCCCTCGAAGCAAACATTTGAGCTACTTCTGTGTAGCTGAAGCAGGACCACAGAGCATCCCAACCCATAACATGGTTTGTTTGTTTGTTGACCAAATGGGACCCATGAACTCAACCCACGTGGCTTATTAAACTCACCAGGGTCAAGCAAACCTTATCCTAATACAACAGGTGTTCCCAGACAACCTATTTGTACTGAAGTCACAAGAGCGAGATGAACTACTCTGCACAAGACCCAGGTCAGCCTCCCTAACCGCGAAGTCCACTGCAAGTGGGAAGCAAGTTTCTCTGATGGCGGCTTGTTCACTTCACCTGAAGCCTCCCTACCTTGGCCTTATGGGCTGCCTCTTCCAGGGAAGCAAGCGCGTGGTCCCGGTGACCCTGGGACTCCTGGCACTTGGAGCAGAGTAAAGCCCGGTCAGTCTGGCAGAAGAGCATCAGCGGCTCCTTGTGGGCCTCGCAAATTGGCTGGCTTAGTTTCTTAAACACTCCCTTGTCTTGCAGATTTCTGATAAGCCAGGAGACATTCCCCAGCTGCCTGTTGGGCACCAGGGTCACAGTATCAAACCTCTGGTGGCACTGAGGACAAACAACGTTGCTCTGAGCACCTCCCCAGTGCTTTTGGAGGCAGGCCTGGCAGTAGTTATGGCCACAGTTTAAAGTCACCGGGTTATGGAACACATTCCTACATAAAGTGCACTTAGCTGCATCCGGAAGGTATTCTGACATCTTTCCCACATCCATTGTATCTTCACCAAAAAAAGCCCCAATCTTTTCTCCTAAATGCGTCAGGCTGCTTTCTTATAGCTTCCGCCCAATAAATAAGACCTTTAGCAATTTTCTCTCTGCTAATGAGATCCTAATTATTTGGCCAAGCCCCTCCTGGATCCCTACAGGACTGGTCCTGCTGGGAGAAGAATTGCTCTGCAGCCTTACTCTTGTGTCCTCTGGGCGCCGTTGAGTTTTCTTGAGCACCATTTTTCCTGTAGGCTGGATCCTGGACAGAGGAAAACATTCATTTCAGCCTCCTGGGCTTTTTCCGGAGAAAAGTCCTCTCTGGATTTCTACAACTGAGTCTCTCCAGATTTTTCTCAAAGCCTCTTTAGAGTTCTGCGTTTGGATCTGGCCCTGATTCTGGGCCTTTAACAACAGCAAAAGAGCAGGTGAGGGCCTTGGCCTGGAGGGAAGTTAGAGGAACAGCTCACCTGCTTCAGGTGTTGGACCACCTGCTCCTAAAGGTGCAGAGACTTGCAAGCAGGGCAACTGGAGATCAGGATCTTCCAACCTGCTGCCACCCCACAGAATTAGCCCTACAGAATTTCTCAGCTATTATGGCCCTCAGAATTTGGTCCCAATTTAACCTGGAGGAAGCCAAGGAAACCTGGGGGTCCCAGAGTCGACCCAGTGAAGTTTAAAAAGTTTCTAGTTTGCATTATACTGGAGAACATCTTATCTCGTTACCAAATGTTGGCTTTTCAGTCTTCAGTTGTTCTGGATGTATCATCTGAGATGCTCTAAATCGGGGCTTTTCAACCTTTTCACCCATGGTACCACTTTTAGGATATGGCAACATCCAAGTACCACCAGTCGCCCAGCAAGGTGTCAAAAATTTGATGACCAAAAAAAAGGGGGAAAAAGTGATAAAGTACAGGTAGTCTTCGACTTACAGCAGTTCGCTTAATGATTGTTCGAAGTTACAATGACAATGAAAAAAGTGCCCCCCCCCCCCAAGCCACAGCCGAGCAAGACACCTGCCTGCCCACCCAGTGGTGCTCTTCCTCCTGTTCAAGGTTTTCATTGTTGTGACCATTTCTGTTGGGGATTGGCAGCGGAGGTGGGGTGGGGGGGTTGTTTGGTTTTTATTCCACCCGTCTGCTGGGTGGTTGCAGCAGGTTTTGGTCACTTCACATGACCCTGGAACAATGTGACCGTCATAAATATGAATCAGTTGCCAAGCATCTGAATGTAAATCACAAGACCCTGGAGATGCTGCAACATTCCAGCTGATCGGCGCTTCTTCTGGGCTCAGAAGCGCCAGGATCAGTGACGAGCTCCAGCTGAGCCCTGACAGTCCCGAAGAAGTGCTGATCCTGGCGCTTCCGCTGAGCCCTGACAGCCCTGCAGCTCCAGCCATCTCTCACTAAGGCTTGTGCGGTGCTGCCACCGGTTCAGCTCATTCCCCTTCCCCGCTACCACTTTTCTAGGATGGTCACGTACCACCTGCCAGGTGCCAATGTACCACAGGTGGTACCCATACCACTGGTTGAAAAGCCCTGCTCTAAATATCCAGCTTTCACATCTTTCCTGCAAAAATCTAGAAAGCCACTTGAACCCCCACCGCACCCCACCCCCTAGTTTCTCGGCCTGTATAGCAAAAGTGTGTTTGGGGTGTGGTGGTGGAAGAATTGTACTTTCAAGTGCTCGCAGTATTCTGATAATGCAGCTTGACAATAAAGTTGAATTACTCATCTGGTTGTGTTTCCTGCCTAGTCTACCTCACAAGGTTACAATCCCTGCAGATCTTCAAGGGGAGATTGCTCTAGTCTAGTGAATGCCCATCTTTACGGACATTCCAGATTCACACGTTACACTAAACCAGGCTTCTCAAACTTGGGAGTAAGGACCTGGGCACACATGCAATTTGTGGGGGGTGGTCACAAACTGACTTTAAACCTTTTCAGCTTTGCACAGAGGACAGGACATTCTCCAGGGTTTAGTTCTTGCTTTGATGTGCAAAGCCCAGGGGGAGCTATGGGGTAGTTTGAACCCTCCCGTGAAACGTACATTGATTGAAATGTACTTATGGATATCTATTATAAATTTCATCCCCATGCTAAGCGCATGGACTGGCTGTCTTGTATCAGGATTGTTTCGGAAACACTTCTGGTTGTGCAACACTGGCACAATCCAAGGCAGCAACTTTTAGGATGTGTGGGCTTTCAAGCCCCAGAATTCCCCAGACAGAAATTAAGTGCACCCCTTCAAAAGAGGCAGAAATAGAGAACGCCTTCCTTCCAGGTCAGGAGGGGAGGGTCGGTGGGTCTGTTTCAGCGGAGGCACCAGAAGGGCTTGGGGCATTTTCCAAAGCGGTCTGAGGCGGGACCCCAAGGCCGCCCCGCAGCGCGACCCCTTTGATTGCTCTCGGGCTCCAGGGACGCATCTACTCCGTTTCACCGGACTTTTTCCCCCCTTTGATTATCCACCCCAACCCCCTTGGACGGCGTGGGGGGGCGCGCTCCTAAAATGCCCCCCACTCCTTCCAAGTAAATCCCTCTCCCGGCGTTAGAAGAGAGGGGGAGGAGGGGGAGGGGGAAGCCGCGGCGCCCAGAAACGCCAGTCGAGACGGGCGGCAGGTAAATCGAAGGAAGGACTGGATGGATCGACGAACGCCCGAACAGCTGGACCGCCGGCGCTGTCGCCGAATCCCCGCCCTCGGCCCCGCCTCCTGGGCGCGCGCCTGCGCACGGGCCGCGCCCAGCCGCCGCCGCGCCTGCGCACATTCGGCCGCCGCGATTATTGTGGCGGGGCGGCGGCGGCGATGGCGGCCGGTCAAGGCGGCGGTCCAGCGGCCAGCAGCGAGGGCGGCGGCGGCGGCGGCGGGGGAGGCGGAGGCGGGGGGGGCGGCCCCGCGTCCTCGTCGCTGCCTCCGCCCGGCCCCCCTCCCGCGCCGCCGCCCCCTCCCCCCCCGCCGCCGCCCTGCGCCGAGCCCGGCCCGGCCTTCCCGGGGCTGCCGCTGCTGCTGCCGCCGCACCTGGCGCTGCCCTTCCCGGCCTGGGGCGCGGGCGCGGGCGGCGGGGGGCTCTCGACCGGGCCCGCCGCCGCCTCCTCCTCAGCCGCCGCCCCCTCGCCGGGCCGCAGCCTGGAGAAGACGCTGGAGGAGGCGGGCAGCTCCGGCCTGCTCTGCCTCAGCGGGAGGAAGCTGCGCGAGTTCTCGGCCGCCGCCGCCTACGACCTCAGCGACACCACGCAGGCCGGTGAGCGTAGACCCATGGTGCGCGGCCGCCCCAGGTTCCCCGGGACCCATCATCCTCGCCTGCACCCGGACCTGTCAGCCCCAGTCCTATCATCCCCGCCCACTGACCGCCCCGCGCCCTGCACATCCCCGCTCCCTCCCCATGCCCCGCTCTGCAGACCCCATCAGCCCCAGCCACCTTTCCTGGGCTGCCCCAGGCCTATCATCCCCTCTGCTGCCTAATTCTCCACAACACCCATGGGGCCCGCCGTTCGGGGCCCATCATCCCCTGCCTGCCTGTGTCCCTGAGCTCTTGAACTGGGCAGCCATTCGCGGGGGGGGGGGCTGGAGGGCCTCTTGTGTCGCAGCCCTTGCTGGCTCTGGGGGGCTGATGGGCCCCCTCCTGCCCATCAGCCCCTGGGGAGGGGGCCGGCTGGGGGAGGAGGCCCATGCCCCGCAGGGAGCAAGGCCAGGGTGGGCTGCCTCCAGGGAGGGTGGAGACGGGGTGCCCTGCAAAGTGGGCAAGAGCAAGTGGGGACGGGGACGAAGGGGCGGCCAGCGGGCGGGGGGAGGGGAGAATTTCACTCTGCTGGCCGGTGCAAGTGAGGAGAGGTCCAGCTTATGGGAGGAGATGGAAAATAATGCCAAGGAGGCTGTTGGTGGTGGGCCGGTAGAAGCGCTTGGGGTAAAGGCGAGGGGAGGGGAGGCAGGTCAGGGCAGAAGAGCTTAGGAATTGTGGGAGGGGACGCAGCAGGCTGGGTCACTAGAGAGGATAAGAGCTGAAGATGGAGTCCCTGCAGATGGAGGAGGCTCCTGTCAGCAGCCATTGCCTCTAATACAGACGGATATTATGGCTGGGTGACTTGACTGCTGGGGATTGCAAAGGAGCAATTGGGAAAATGTGTTTTGGAGCTGAATGAAGGAAGGTGGAGGATCAGAGGCTACACAAACCTGCATGTCGGCTTTTAATAGTCAAAACCACTTTGTTTATAGTTTGATGTAAGTTGGCTCTGGCTAGACCTCAGAAATGCAAATTGCATTCAAGCTATCCTTTTGTTTTTGTGTTCCTGAAAAATGATTTTGCAAAGTAGAGCTCGGTGCTCTGGCGGTTTCTGTCGAGTCTTAATTTGCTCTGTTTAGCATCAGAAAATTTTTTCTCTGAAAACACGAGCATGTCAGATGAAAAGTTAGATTTCTCGACCATGGCAATTTTAAGCTATTTGGACTTCAACTCCCAGAATTCATAGTTGTTTGGGGAATTCTGGGAGTTGAAGTCCAGACATCTTGAAATGGTCAAGGTTGAGAGACACTGAATTAGATTATGGTTTGCATAATTGCTGGTACATTTGCTTACTGGTTAAGAGGGTTGACATCTTCGGGCTCAGCAATTGCAGCCTCTGTCTGGTCTTGAGTCACGTTGGACTCCTTTAGCTACCCCTGAATCAGATCTGATCTAAAACCATGTATTGTCAGGCCTTGCTTCCATTTTCAAAATTCTTTCATCTGTAAATCTAAGACATCATTAATAATAAGCAGAGAAGCTTGGATGACACATAGTGGATTTCCATTCTGGTGCCAAGCTTTGAAATGTACTTCCTTGGTTTATGTCTATGGAGATTCCTTGGTTCTCCAGTCTGTTTCACTTGTAATCTTAACTTCCTTTCAGGAAAAAGTGCCAGCAAAGGTGACATCTTTGGCAGGGTCGTCTGACTTTATTGCTAAAGCGTCTCTTTTAAAAGTTTACTCGGTTCTGCTGTTTTGCTCCCCTTGAGACTTCTACCAGATGGAAAGGTGGCGTATACGTCTCCTAGTAATAAATGCTGAGGAGGGGCCCATCCCAAACATTGCTGGGATGCATTTTTTAAAACAAAATCTTAAAGACCGTTGTCCAGCGGAATGCAAAAGCCAGAGTTGCCAGTTATTGTGCCGGCAGATTTATTGTCCCAGGGAGCATTCATTTGTTCTACAGGAATAGAATGTGGCTTCCTGGAGGCTCCTTCTTTTAAGAGGAGGTCTTGTAAGGCTGATAATTACAGAGAGGCGAAATTAAAAGTTGCAGGCAGTTTTTCCCTCGAGGCCCAGAGAGCAAATCAGAGGCCCTGCCGGCGGTTAGAGACTGGCTGGGATGAAGTGGTGAGCTAGAGTTGAATGATGTAGCTGCCTGGTTTGGATATAAAACTCGGGAGGAGGTTTTTCGTTTTCTTTTCCGTGGGAGGAATGTCGAGTGCTGCGCCAGGCGAGTAGCTCCCAAACAGATCTCCTCCCTGAGCCTTCTAGGGCAGTGGCCTGGCTGGGCGTCCTGACGTGTTCTTCCTTTGTGCAGAGGGTGAAGTACTCCAGTTGAACATGCACGAGCTGTTGTTAAATCAGTCTTCATACATGTTGCCTTTGCTATCTGGACCAGGGACACTTGGGTGGCTGTCGAAATGTCAGTTTTGTAAAGAATCTCCCCAAAGATTGGCAGAAGGACCTCTAAGGAGAACAGCGAGGGGTCCTTGGTGCTCTCTGAGCTGGGCTGTTTCCTTGCAGATGTTTCATTACCCAAACTAGCTAACATCGCAGCGACTAGCACTGATGATGTTACCTAGGTTGGGTAATGAAACGTCTGCAAGAAAGCCCAGCCCAGAGAGGGACAAGGACACCTCATTTCAACTCTGAACTACAAATGTTCTCCTTTATTACAAAGAGAACATCAAAGAAACGTCTTGTGCCACAATTTAAGGCAGTCGGGTCCAAAATTGAAATGTGATCTTTAATGGCATGCAAGGCTTGCTGAGAAAAACTATAACAGCACCTCAGCTCAGACAGTGTGCATGTCAACAACATATATCATTGGGGATAGAGGGTGGAAGTCCATGGCTTAAAGCGAGAAGGCCTCTCCTGGATTGGTCCAAGGGAGGTCCAAAAGATGGCATAGGTGATGTTGGCAAAAAGACTGCAAGGTGCCCTGGAGATTTAAGAAGGTCCCATTTCCAGAAAACCGGTTCAGGGCAACAGATGCAATTTCCTAAATAATTCTGCTAGGTAGACTTTGGGCCCTAATCTCTGCTTGCTGTCCGTCTATTCTATCCTCCTTTTGCATAATCCTTCAAGCTTTTTCAGAGATCACAGTAAGCTGAGATTGTCGCTCCACGATGATAGAGCAAAGAAGCCTTGGGACGCCTTCCCTCACCTGCTTCCTTTTACAGTAGAGAACCAGACTTTTTCTTTAGGTTTTCTTAGGGTTTGTCCTGGGGTTCCTGGTCTACACGTGCCCAAAACAAATCCTGCCTTTAAACCTTAGCCATCAGGAAAGATATTCCTCCTTGTAAATGAATTAGTATATATACATTCAGCTTCACAGCTGAGCAAAAATGTTTTATGGCATAAGATTCCTGCCGGGCCTCAAGACTCTTTGTTTTTTCTCAGACCTCACATAGCTTCTCCTCTGGATATGGATTAAAAATGTTTCTTTTCCTCCATCCCCTTTGTGCTAAATGAAAGTGCTAGACTTCAGTTGAACCATAGGGAAAATCCAGCTTGAATTCAGTTTCCTCCAACAGAAAGAAGCAACCTTGAACTTAATGCACCGAGCTGTAATTTAGCTGCTTAAGCTCCTTTCACACCCCAGAAGCTTTCCAGCATTATCTGCATTTGGAACAATAATTATTCTCTGTAATTAAAATGTCAGATTTGGGACATGACATCTGCCATTGTACTCAGGGTGGACAAATTCAGCCTTTTATAGAGAGATAGGTGGGATATTTTTTCTTCAAAGAAGACAGTGTGCTGGACTCTTTACCAAAATGTTGCTTTTAAGTAGCCGTACATAAAAACGCTGAAACTGACCATTGGTACTTGTCCGCTGTGTTCCCAGCCTCCGCTTTAAGGCCTGAGCCAAAAGAAAATGCGCTGGTGATTTGGGAAAGTGCAGAATTGTGCTTCCTTCCCATTTCTTCCCACAGCGAACAGGGCTTCTCTGGTCTAGAAGACCTCCAAGGTCCCTTCCAGCTTCTGTTCTATTCTCTCTCATCCTGCCTAACCCTAATCTGTTGTGGCTGTTTCCCACTAGGTAGCTTTTATTCAGCTGATTAACAAAGATAATAGCAGTGTCACCAGTGCTCCGAACTTGGACTGCAGAAATTGCTGTGTGTGGAATGTCAGTGTTGCAATGCAAAGCAAGCCAAGACTTTCCTAATTAACTTCAGTAATGTGCATATTATTTTTCAGAACTAAGCCTGATCATATTAAATAGAATCTCCCAACAAATTTGCATGTGATTTGCAATTTTACACACCCTTATTATGAAGGAACGCAGTTGAATCCATGTGACTTTCTCCTGAATTTACATGCACATGGGATTGTGCTATAAATGTGCAAAATCTTGTTTTCCTCCCCATTAAACGTTTGCACCTAATTATATTATTGTTGGTGGTTTATTTTTATTTCTTTTTGCTCATCGCTTCATGAGTACTAAGATTAAACGGATTTCTGATTCTGATCCTGGTGGCTCATAGGTTTGGCACCATGCAAAGGAACAAATCTGAACATAATTGGTTGAATGAAAACCCGATCAAGCTAATTAGGCTGGAGCGCTGACAAAGATGTATTCAGATATGTGGAAGCTGCAAGGCTGTCTCTCTAGTGACAAATGCGAAGTTTATTATGTGCTGAAGGTTTTTATAGAGTTGGTAGATTTGGAGTGAAAGATCCAGTTGATCTTTTGATAGCAGCAACAAGATACTCAAGGCATTTATTCTTGGAATCTGCTCAAATCTAGATTTTTGTTCCCCTGATCCCTAGCTCATACCTTGGTGACAATAATATGCAAAATTTCAAGAATTGAGGAATATTTTTTCTAGGTACTTCTACTTCTAACCAGAAATACTTTTGAGAATTGTGGGAAGTCTAGCAGGAGACCCAGCCCTGCAATTCCTGAAGAAGTCTCAGATATCTCCTTCAAGCCAAGTGGGAAATGCAGATTGTTATGTTAGTTTAGGGCTTCTGCCTCTTAGTCTGCATAAACTATGAAGGTTTGACTAGGTGGGTGAACTTCCCTTAGCAACTCTTTTTCTGCAGCTAGGTTGCCCTCTTCTCCAGTTTTTTTGCCCTAGCCACTTAAGGATACTCAGAATAGTTGCATGCAGTGGAATAGATACATCCCCCTCTCCCCAGCGAAGGGAGGAACCCAACAGTAGAAGGAAGCAAGTTGGCCACACAACATCGTTTGTGTCCCACTGGAACCTGTGCCAGGTCCCCAAACTGCCAGCATTCAAAGACCCTAAGCGGAGAGTATCCTAGTCTTTCGGGGGGGGGGGGGAGGCATGCAGTCTGCTGCTGAGTGTGCTCTGTCAAGGAGAGGCTTCCTGATGCCATTGGAGGGCCTCCTTATTCTGTGTAGGATTTTAAAATACTTAGGTTTGATATTAATATAGTCAAAGCATTGTTTTTGGCCATTCTTAGAAAGTATTTATTCTAACTAGAGCAGCTAGAGTCAAGTATGGCCAATAAATCTTTTCCACCTAATATCTCAAGGAGTGTAGCTTGTTAAATTTGATAGTATTTCACTAGGAGGGTTAGTAAATGGTATTTTTATTACATAATTCTTTTGTGTGTAAGTGAGATTTCTAAGTCCATGCAAGGCCCCGATTCTTGGCAGGTGAAACAGGGAAGTAGCTTCCCTTTTTTTTCTGGCAGAATGAAGTCTTTGCCGTGGTCTGCAGACAAGGAAAGGGAAGCGGTGACTTTGGGAAGGATTAATCAGCTTTCTGTGCTGGCTGCGCATGTGACAACAAAGGACACAAAGGGATGAAGGCAAAGATGGCCTGCACTGCATCTTGTATCGAGGCTCAAGTCCTGGCTCCGGCTCCTTACCTTTGTTTGGAGAGGCTTAGCAGGCCGACAATATAGCTATTTCACAGACGGCTTTACGGGAGTCCATATTGCTGGGAGAGGATGTTGCAGAACAGCAGCAGCAGATTTCCCTAATATTGTCTGTTCTGTGCCATCTGTGTGCACACACAGCGTTCAAAAGGTTTTGTAACAACCCCCCCCCCCATAATAGGTTCCTGACTCACCTGGAGGAGGTTGATCAGGCTAGGCAGAAATGAGGAGGCCAAACAAAGTGGTTGGGCTCCCTTCAGTTTGAAGGACCGAGATGGTTTTGCTGGTCAGAAGGAACCAGCTTCTACTGGAGGGGAAATGGGTTGTTGGGGCAAAGAGTGGACAGTAGTGAATTCTTGTCTTCTCTTAGAAGGGCAGGTCCTGGTAAACTTCCAACTCTACCTGTGTGTTGGGTTCGGCATCCTAGTAGAAAGTAACCCTTTCCAATTTATAGCCTCTAATTCCAATCGTAGAATTGTGCAACTGCAGATTACCAGTTGGGTAGCTTCTTCTGATTCAGGATGAGCTTTGAAAATATCTTCTCCTCCTCCTCTCCCTTTTTAGATCTTTCCAGGAACAGATTTACTGAAATCCCTCCAGATGTGTGGCAGTTTGCACCGCTCGAGACATTGAACTTGTATCACAATTGCATCAAATCTATCCCGGAAGCCATTAAAAACCTACAGATGTTAACATATCTCAATATCAGGTAGGTGCATTTGTCTTCTTGTGGTTTCACCTCAGAGAGCCTTCTTGCTCCAGATGACTGCAAAAATATTTGCTGCTCTCTGCTACATGCAGCCTAGAGATTGCCAAAAGATAACCCTGTGTGAAGGATATTTCTCTTTCACAGTATGATGTTCCAGATGCAAATGTAATCACTTTATATTTCATTTTCGGTTTCTGGGAGTTCAATGAATGCTGAAAAGAAGACTATTAATCTTGCCTTCTGGTGGCAAAGCAGCTGAGTTGACCACAGAACTAGAGAACTTTATTCCTTAGTGAAAGGAATGTTGCTCCATTTTGTGGCGGCTGCTTTCAGATCCTCCGTGTTTTATTTTTGGTTAGAGTATGCACAATCCCTGCTTTCCCATGTGGGTTTAAAGGAGGTGCAGAAAGCGAAATGCATGGGCTCATCTCAAGTTACGTACATCTCAAGAGCAGGGCAAAGACGATAAATGAGCAACAGAGGAAGAAAAACTAAAGCAGGAAAAAAGGATGAGAGAAAACTGAAGCTGCCTCTCAGCCCCACAAAAATGGTGCACGGAGGAGAGAAGAAAGCGTGGGAAGAGTTTGCAAAGATCTGTAAACCCCTGATTTAAGCTTTTGTAGAGGTTGAGTATTTTGCTTCCATGTATGCACATGAGATGGAATGCATTGCTGGGAGGGCCGTTTATGTATTGTGCTCTACCAGCAGGGCTTGTGACGGAAGAGCTAAACAGTGAGTCATTTTTAAATGGAGCATAGAGCGGCTTTAATGGCTTCTGCATCTCTCAAACATGAACAATTCATAGCTGCTGGATATTAACCCTCAATGTCTTAATTTCTCCCCAGCCGAAATCTCCTATCTACATTGCCAAAATACCTATTTGATCTGCCACTGAAAGTTTTGGTTGTCAGCAATAATAAGCTTGTGTCTGTTCCTGAAGAAATTGGAAAGTTGAAAGACTTAATGGAATTGGTACGTGCAGTTGCTCTGTCCTTTATTACCATTAACCCATTTGGCTTCGCTCTTGTTTGTCCACAAATTGAGCTGCACCCTGTAAAAAACTGAGCTGTCTAGAACAGCAGTGGGCAAGCTTCAAGCTTTCCAGTCTTGTGGCCCCAAGTCCATAAATCTCATCTGGTTGATGTCTTTACTTCTGTTGAGTCAGTGTCTGTTGGCTTGTTTCGGGGTGTGTGTGTGAGGGGGGATACCATTGAGTTAACTTAACTCCCCTACACGTCTCTGCAGGTTTTGGGCAAGATGTTTTGAAGTGGTTTCCCCTTGCCTTCTTTTTAGGGCTGAGAAGGTATGGCTGGCCCAGAGTCATCCAACTGGCTTCATGCTTAAGGCGTAATCACGTTCGCTTCTCTTGATTTCTGGCCACATCGGAGAGATGCCTTTTGAAACCACTTTCCTTTGAAGAAAAAATCTGTTTTAAGAGAATCCTCCTCTTTCCCTTTCTAGCAAAACAAGTCTTTCTCTCTTCAAGAAGCGCATTCCCTTGGTTAAGCCATTCATGTCAGAAAATGCTGGTTTAATTTTTGGATATTCTGGTTTTCTGTTTCTTAGGATATCAGCTGCAATGAGATCCAGGTCCTTCCCCAACAGATAGGAAAACTGCACTCCTTAAAAGAACTAAACTTAAGAAGAAATAATCTCCATATGTTACCCGATGGTAAGCAGTTTTCCATCTTCTTCCAGCCTTCCTCTGAATTCATTGAGACGCATGTCTTGTAATGTCTGAAGGCCACTTTCTTCCTCCTTTATCATTAATAGAATTAGGAGACCTTCCCTTGGTCAAGCTGGACTTCTCTTGTAATAAAATCATAGAGATTCCCATCTGCTTCCGGAAATTGCGACACTTGCAAGTCATCGTTCTGGATAATAATCCAATGCAGATCCCGCCGGCCCAGGTTTGTTAATCCCCCTTCAGTTCAGAAGCACAGTGGGGACACGGGGGACCATCAGTCAGCTGCTGTGCTCTGGAGAAAGGGTGCAGGACCGATGGGGTGCCATCCTCGGATGGAAGCACCTTTTCTGCCTGATGCTTCTTTGTGCTCCGGGGGGGGGGTAGCTGGGGAGGGGCCGGTCTCTGTTTCTGGGGCCCTGGAAGGTCTTTTCCTGGAATCCCCAAATGAGCTTGTTTCCTAATTCATCATCTCACTGCATGAAGTTGATGAACAGGTTGGGCTGGTCAGCTGTTCCAGGAATAGGTCAGTAGTTTGGGGAGATTTACGCGAAGCCTGTTAACAGTTCCCCACCCCCTTCAACACATGTGCGCACGCACACACAAACACACACACGCGCACGCACACACACACACACACAGGGAGAGTCAGACACATCAAAGGCAGCGAAGGAGTTCCAAAAGGTTTCTGTCAACCTATCTGACTCAAATTTTGTTTTGGTTTCTTTCCTGTCTGTATCTTAATAGATCTGCTTAAAGGGCAAAGTGCACATTTTTAAGTTTCTCAGTGTTCAAGCATGCCTGAGAATGGATAAGAAGCCAGATTCGCTGGATCTCCCTTCCCTGGGAAGAAGGATCCCTTCTCAGCCACTCACCGACAGGTAAAGCCACCTTTCCTTCTCGGAAGATAAAGGCTGAGCATTTGTAATCGCTACGTCTGTTCTGAGTCCCCCATCATGCCAGGAACTTCATCAGTGTCCCCTTCCTGGCCCAGTCTCTGACTGTGTTTCCAGCTTTCTCTTCCCTGCCTGCCATCTCTTCTCCCCTCGCCTGTCAGGCATCATTGCTGAGGCAGAGCTGAATGAGCTGGCTGGGCCTGGGATCAAGAGCTGCATCTCTGTTCTCTTCTGTGTGGATGGGAGCAAACCCATATACACTGCTTGGTTTCAGCATCCTTTACTGAAGGAGAAGTCTGCCATCTACTGCCAAACCAACTGCATTATATCCTTAGTCTGAAAGGGAAGAAAATCAGCACACCTCTTCAGAAAAGAACTTTTGGGATAGGTTTATTTCCCACTCAATTTCCTCTCTTTGGGGAATTGTTTGCTGTTCTTTAAGGAATTAAAAATTTCAATCAATCTTTTATTACCAGAATAGGGGAACTGAAAATAGTTTTCTAGTGTGTGTAACCAATGTTCTTCTCTGTTACAGTATAGAAGACTTTTACCCCAATAAAAACCATGGCCCAGACTCTGGAATTGGTAGCGATAATGGGGATAAAAGATTATCCACGACAGAAGTAAGTCAGCTCTTTTTTATGTTGTTGAAAAAGAGAGAAATGGGTATTCCCCCCCCCCCTTTTCCATCAGTTTTGAGATGGAGATCTCTCTCTCTCTCTCTCTCTCTCTCTCTCTCTCTCTCTCTCTCTCTCCCTCTCCCTGATAATTAATTGTCTGATAAATCTTTGCAGTCCGTTTAATTAACATGATGTGTTAGAGGTTACTCTCTATCACAATGAAGTCACATACATCAGGCTCCCCTAATCTGGTGGTTTCAAGTGTGTTGCAACTCTCACAACTCTCTTGCACAGGAATTGCATCACACTACAACTGGTGAGCAAGTTGCTGGAAAATGTCGCATTAATTTTATGTTACAGATTTGATAGCAAAAAAAATTTTTTTTCCCTGATTTTTTTGTATTGGTTAGGCACGTGAAACTAGAGCCAACTGAAGCATTTCTGGATGTGTTGTGACAACTATTTACTGATTGAATGTCTGAATTGGATGCTCTGGTTGGGATCCTAGACTCACACGGGCCTCCTCAGAAGATTGTTTCGTAATGTGTGTCATCAGAAAGACAAATGCAATGTGTTTGTGATGTTCTCAACTGTTGTTTCCTCAGCCATCCGATGATGACACAGTCAGCCTCCACTCTCAGGTGTCGGAATCGACAAGGGATCAGACACTCCGAAATGACAATCAGTTGCTGGGGAACAAACCTGAGTTGCATAAAGGTAAAATCCTACATCCAGGTGCTTTTGGGAAGTTGAAGTCCACACGTCTTAAAGGTTGAGAAACACCTGCTTGGACCCTTAGAGATAGAGGCTTTTATACATTCAAACCAACCACATATATCTCCTCTTTCCCTTTTAACCTAATCCCTAGACCCCGATGTGTGTGATTACCTCGATCCCAGCTCAGAGGATGTGGCTGCATGTGATCAAGGAGATCCTCAGACTGGGTCGTCCATCTCTTACGTTAAGGTAGCCACATCTTAAAAATAGGCAAAGTGAATGAGTAGTAGAGACTTTCTCATTCTAAAGTTGTTCAACACTTATTTAAAGCGATTTCTGCAACCCTCTTCCCCCCCCCCTTCCTCTACCTCCAATATGCTGGGTAAGGAGCGAGGAAAGTCAGGTGAGAAGCCACAGAAGAGTGAGCCACGTGAAGATTGGCGAGAGGAGAAGAGGTGGGTCCCTGACAGCATCCCGGTGGGGTTTGGGGATGATCTACTGGGGACCGTTCACCCAGAGGATCTGTTTGGCAGAAGTCTCTAATCAGGGTTTCGTAACCTCGAATTCTCTCAGCCAGAATTCTGGGAGTTGAAGTCTACACGTATTAAAGTTGCCAAGGTTGGGGAAACCCTGACCTTATCCAACGAGGAACATTTATTTGTTTATGTATTAGCATTCAGAAAGAAAAGGCGTTGGCCGAAGATGATGACCTGAAGGAGGTGACCGACTTGCGAAAAATTGCAGCTCAGCTTTTGCAGCAGGAGCAGAAGAACAGGTAGGAAGCTTGTGGGTCACACCGGAAGCAGCTGGGGGTCCGGGTGAGGGTCTGCCCTGACCGCTGCTTGTATGGCGTCTTAAAAACTTGTCCCGTCCAAGCTGAGAGAGGATGATCTGAAAGAAGAAAAGTTGGTTTATGGCTAATCCTGCTGCTGCCTTTTAAAATACATACCTCGGTCCTTTATAACCGTTGCTAAAATTGATCCTGAAAAGCCTGTGGCCTTTTGCCGTGTTGAAAAAGCCCGCGGGCTTGCCTCTTTGAAGGATTTCTTTGCCAGCTTGGCCATAAAGCTTTTTTGTCTTCTCTTGGCTTAACTGTGGTTACACTCTCCTCTTTCTCTCTTCTGCTGACTTTACTAACGTCTCTCCTGTCCTTCCTCATGGCTCCCTTCCTCCATCTTGGGGCACGTGGCCTGCAAATTCAGACGGAGGCCCTTAAGCTATAGAGCTTCCTTCAGTGAAAAGCTTTTCCAGAGGACCCGGGTGGCAGGACGCGCCTCAAGGTACTTGGGACTGGAGGCCTGGGGATGTCATCCGAGCACGGGGGAGAGCAGCCCACAATAACCCTGGATAACAACTTGGTGTAACAGTGAAGGTGCGCTTGAGGAGGAAAATGGAAGAAAAACCTAAAAAGAAGAAAAACCTCTTAGAACATAGAATCCTAGGGCTGAAGGCACCTCAGAGGCCTTCTAGTCCAAACTCCTGCTCAAGGCAGGAGACCTTATGCCAACCCGGTCAAAGGGGTGCCCTGTCTACTTTTGAAAACCTCCAGTGATGGCGCACCCAGAGCTCCGACAGGCAAGCTTGTGGGTTTATTTCAAGGCTTTATCTGCCTCTGTCATAGAAATGGGGCTTCAGGGCAGGGTCTCCCCCGAGTGTGGTCTAAAGGGCAATCACTGTGGTGTCATCAAAACTTTGCTCGGGCAGGGCCTCAACTGCACCATCACAGTCGCTGTCTTGGATTTTTGTGACCGCACCTGTGGACATCCCTGTTTTGGGAATTTCCCTGTTAAACCATACCTTGGGGAAAAAAACCCACTTCTGAGAAGAATCTTGAGGGGACCTGCAACCCAAATTGGGAAATGTTTTCCTCTTGAATTGTTACCTGGAAACCAAATTCCAGACGCTTAAAGTGTTGTCCAAGGATGGATTAATGCTGTTTTTGTGTAAGAGGGTCCTTGGCCTTATTTAAAGACAAGGAGACTCTTCCTGGGCAGACGTGGGGGTCAGTCAACCACCCCGGACCATTTCCTGGTGGGGGAAGAATGACCCTGTTAGTCAGCTGGGAAGCCCCCTGCCCTCAGTTCGGCAAGCCTACATAGAGAACACTCCACTGTGCTGCCACTCTTCTGCCCTGAGTAGGCTGGGATTCTGTTCAGACAACCTTTGCTTCTTATTTCTCTCTGCCTTTCCTGTCCCACTCCTGATTCCAAACTGTCTTTCCTTGCTATTCCTTCACTCGTGACTTTGTTCCTTCTCGAGTCCCTTTCCCAAGTGGATGCCTTCAGGGACTGTCTCTGCAGCCTCAGAGGACATCTTGACCAGGGTTGAAAGACAGACCGGGGGCTGGCAGGACAGCTGGGGTCTTCTTGAGACTCACCGGAGAGAGGGGAGGAGAGCCGTCCTCACCTGAGGCTGCAGGAACCTAGCATAAGCAAACTAGGATCAACTAAGAGCTGAGCCTGTATGCCATTCAGGGGCAACTTTCTTGCTTTTAGACTCCTGAATCACTCCACCCCGACAAGCACAAGAAACCGACCGAAACAGACTGTGGACACAGAAAAAAGGTATGGGGCTTTACAGGGTGGGAACAAATAGGTTAAAATAGTTTGTGTGAACCTAATGTGTGAAAAGATTTTGCAGAGGTAGGCCGAAACAAAAGGTCTCCAAAGGGGGCACCGTTACTCTTTGAAAGCTGGTCCTAGTGCAGGGAAGCCAGAGCCCCCACATCCTTTCCAGAAACCCTTTTACACAGTGAGTTCACACAAATTATTTTCATAAGATTTCACTGGAACAAACCAGGTGGGCCTGAGGGCCACAGGGGAGACCTTGAGACCCTGTGGCTCTTGAAAGGGAGGAAAGTGAGAAAGATTTCCCACCCAGGGGTTACGTCTCAAGAAATGCGGACCTCTGAAAAAAGTCCTTACTGCAAACGTTTTAAAATTTTATAGTTTCCCACATTGCTTGTGCTTTTCTTTAGAGTTTTTTTTTATCAGTCCTAAAATTCACAGGTTATCTGGCTATAAATAAATATTGGCAGTGTTGGATGTCAGATTAGAAGTTGACTGCCTTGGTGCTAGGAAACAGCGTGAAGAGCTCCACGTTTTGAGTGGGCAGCTGCATAATTTAACAAAGAAAGAAAGGGTTGGTTTTTTTTGTAGGCCAACAACTTTGTGTTTTGTTACATTTTATTTTTTCGTGCAGCCTTTCTGCAGATGAAGCCAATTCTCCGTCTTCCCCCTGCAGCTGGCAGGTAATGCAGAGACTCGTAAGCAGCCGTGATGGTTTGGCTTCTTCATCGTAAACGTTCCTTCCCTGCCGCCTTGGATCGCCCTTTATGGCTTCGGCTGCAGATGAGCTGCCTCGCTTGCCAAAAGTGCGCCTGGTGCCAGATAATTGGGTGGGATTCCTTCGCGCCGTCTGTCGTGCAGTGCAGTAGTTGTGACAGATTGTGTGACGTTCTGTCATTCTGGAGCATTTGATAACTACCCTGAAAGTCGGATCAGCTTGCTGTGAGGGAAGCTTGACAGATTCAGAAATTTTTAATAACGTCGGATTAAGAAATGCAACCCTAAGATTTCTCTGGGCTTATTCACAATTTGCTTTACTTTCTTAGACATATTCATGCATTTTCCCTACAGCCATTTAGTAAAAACAAAAATTTGCCCTATCCTAGCAAGCGCAATCGTCACTGGGACTCCTACAGATTTCCTTAAAATTCATGCTGTTTATAGCATTTTTGGATTTTTAATCCAAACCAATTGCTTAGTACAATGTTGAATAAGTGAGTGAATTCGTGAACTGCATCAATATTTATCCGTGAATAAATTGGTACGTCAATCTACGTATCAGTATATCAGCCAGTCCCTCATTTTTCCGGTAAATATGCAGTGAATGTATATAAGTACTTTGATTTAATAATAAAATGGAGTGGAATTAAGCCTTGGCAACTATATAACAGTCTCAGTGCAAATGCCGGTTCGTCTGTGCCCGTGTTTTTATTCCCTGTTCACCCTTTGCAAAGGCCTTCCCTGTTCGTGACTGGAAGTGAAAGATGGTTCTGGGCAGCAGGTTTACCAGAGGAGCTGAGTGAACGCAAAATGTACAAGATATATATCAGTGACCCTTCTGAATTTTATTTTATTTATGGGCACTTTTTCCTACCTTACGGTGACTGGTGATGGCAGGGGAGCTGGAAGGCTAGTTTAGGAAAAGCATTGCTGATTTCATCAGAGATTTGGGGGCGATCCTGATCAACGTCATGGGTTCAAAGCCTTACGGGCTGTTTTCTCTCCGTAGCCTCTGGAGAATCAGAGAGGCCACAACCTGGACGGTCCACGTTGGCCGGACGCGCAGCCGATAATCTGGCCCAACGAAGAGAGGCGTCGAAGCAAGCAGATCAGGAGGGAGTATTTCAAGGTGGGCCCCCCCCTTTTTTTTCTCTGCCTAATACCCGTCTAAGAAAATAAAACCATTTCTGAGCTTAGAAAGTCTCAAACCCCACTGAAAGCAGCCCGGCTTTTATGTTTGTAATTATTTTTCTTGGGGAAAAAAAATAACAGAATAAAAACTTTTAAAAGAGAAAGAAAATAGTGAGAAAAGACTAGAGAAGCGGAAGAAGAGAAGTAGACGAAGAAAAAGACAAAATATTTTTTGTTAAGAAATGAGCAGTTATAAATGCATTTGAATTTTATCTTCTCTCTGTTGAGTTTACATCACAACTCCCTTCTTCCCATAATCTATCCTTTCTAGTCAAACCCACAAATCAGGTACTGTACGTTTTTCCCCCATTTTCAGTCCATACGAGGTTTCCAGTCACAGAAAGAACGCCATCCTGCCTTTTAAAATGCTTGAAAGCAAAGTAGATTTTCTGCCTTGAACAGGAAGCTCAGTTACTTACACCCGATAACCGAAACTGAAACAGGCTAAAAAATCCAGCTGGCGGTTTTTTTCATGCCAGCCAACCCTTGATGGACTTGAAGGTGGCTTTCCCAACAATTATTCTAAAATAGGAAGCGCCTCAAAGTGTTTTAAGGGTAGTATTTACCTTGAACAATCAGACCGATCTCCGTCAGAGCTTCTCCTCTGAGGTGCTTCTGTCTGCTGGAGAAAGGGAAAGCAGCGGAAACCCATCAGGAGAAACCTGCGGGGGGGGGGCAGCCCTGCTTTCTTTTCTCTGTGCATGAAGCCTTTTCCCTTCATTTGTCTCTGGCTGAATATCACCGCTGCATGCTTCGACATGAGCATTGAAAAACAGAAGACCCTGCCTTGCCGTGGGTCTGGCCTTGTCACTGAGCTGAAGACAGTTACATAGGGAGGACGCCTGGGAGGGGCAACAAGCTGGCTGGGGAATTCTGGGAGTTGAAGTCCACAAGTCTTAAAGTCATCAAGGTTGGACATCCCGGTCCAAGCCATTTTTTGGCCAAGGTGGTTCTGTAGTTCTGACTTCGATCCTCAGATCTGTCTCTCCGTGAAGTTCTTAAGTCTGCTCCCCAAGCAAAGTCTGCTCTGGGTGAAAGGAAGCCAGGGAAGAATTCCCCTGATCTCTGGCTCAGGAATTTCCTTAAAAGCGTCAGAAAAGGGCTGGGGCTTTATTGCAGAAATACGTTACAAGGGTAGTGAAAATGCCGACTCTTTGGCCCTGCCAAGCTAACTAAGAACTCTGAAACTCGCAGCCCCGGGGCACCCAGAGAGTGGCTGGGTGGGGGGGCCTGGCTGAAGCCTTCTGCATCAGCAGGTCCTCTGCACAAGGGACAGAGAGCTTTTTATGTCAGAGTCTGCAAAGCCTTGAGATACAGGCCTGCTTTAAAGGCGAGCAGCGTAGATGAAGGATGCCTTCTAGGGAATACATTATTTGGAGAACAGTACAGTTTATCCTTAAGGAAATGCACCTGGGATGATTATGAGAATATGCACCAATAAACATTTCTCTCTAGGGAGCTTGTCAGTCATGCAGTTCTTCCTCTGGTAAGCCAAATCCAGTTTATTATCCTGGTTACTGAGCCTAAGCGTTATACGTTGCTCTTGACCAGCATTTTAAGCCCCCAAGGGAGCCTCCTGAGACTGCCCCCATGCCAGGATAGCCCTGTTTCTCTGTCTCAGGGTGGATTGGTAATGTGGTCTGAGGATGAAGCAGAGAGTCAGAAGTGATTAAAAATACACAAACAGGCTTCACAAACCACGTGGCATAAAAGCTGTCTGTTTTTCAGTACAAGTCTTCGCGGAAGAGTTCCAGTGGAAATGAAAACGATGAGGTAAGTGAGGAGTGGAATAGAAAACGAAACTTAACCATGGAAATCAAGGATTTTGTGAACGTTATTCTTTAAATTCTCCTCCCTATACTCACATGCACAGTTGTTTTCCTCCCCTCTCAAAGAAGTAATGCCTAAGCATAATTTGCATTGACAGCCCATGAATCGGATGTGGCTTAGAACTGCTTGATAATCTCACAGGTGTATGGAGACTCTTGCAAATCTCCCTTGGCCTGGCCAGGAACTGGTATCAAATGATGTCTTGGTTTTACAGTGCTCTGCCATGTTTTGAACATTGGTTTCTATTAAATCCAGGCCACCCTGGCATCTGCTGAAGGATAGATTATACATACTTTAATAAATAGTCATAGTCTGCCGTAATCTGGGAGAAATTTAGGAACTGATCTCACATTTTAAAAAAGGCTTAAGCAGAGAAGCTACTTGTAATGCAACAGCTTTTTAGGTGTTGGGCCAGCAAAGTTTCTTAGCTGATGGTGCAAGAGCCCTCTTAGTCTATGGTAGCAGAAAATCAGAGAGAAGCTAATAGTGCTTTTTCTGATTAGCCAGTTATATTAAAAGGCAGAAACTCCTTTGGATTTGCAACTGAAGATGGAATCCCATTGGCCCTGAGGCTCTGATCCCTTAAACCAAGAGATTTGCCCTCCTGTAAGGAGACCACATTCAGAGGTCACCGTTAGGACATCTGCAAGCCTGACCAGTCAAGCAATTTCATATGTTTAGTAGTGTGTCTCTGTTGGGGAAAATATATGTTTGTACATGCACACATGTATGTCTTGTCTGACCAAACTTTTCATTTTAAAACATTTCATCTTATAATTTCCATCTTTTTGGTTTTGTTTTTTGTAGCAAGACAGTGATCATGCTAATGTGTCTCCACAGTCGCCTGTGTCATCTGAGGTACAAGTGTCTGTCTGTCTGTCTCTGTATATTTTTGTTAGTATCACAAAGTGTCACATTTTAACCGCAGTGTGCAATTTTAGTGTAATTGGAGTTGCCTGCAGAGTAGAAGTTCACTCAAGGAGTGATCTGAAACCTATTACGGAGGGGCCACAATGTATGTTAGAAAAAGCAGAAAAGTTTCTGAACGCTTTGGATTAGAAGACCTGCAAGGCGCCTTCCAGCTCTGTTACTCTCTATTCTAAGTACAGCTTTCCATCTTTAAGAAGCATGTTATCAAAGGGCTTTTGGGAGAACCTTTTTAGAGAATGCCTCCCCTCCCACTTCCCGGAAGCTCTGTGGTCCTGGCCCTGAAACTGAGCTGGCCTGTCCTTTTATAAGCAATCAGTGCAGCTCCTCAAGAACTCTCCACGCGGTGGCCAAAAGGAAGGGAGCCTCCAGCCTCTTTTTTCCAGGCTGGGATTATCTTCTCTGCCTAGAGATTTCCCAGCCAAGACCGAAGGCTCTCGATTCTTGAGGCTTGCATGCCTTGGGTGCCCTCCGTGGCCATCTGACAGCTCTGCTTCTCCCTCCTTTCAAGGATTATGAACGGACAGATGGGAATTCTCACGGCCCTTTTGGACTGAAGCCCCGATCAGGTGAGGGCTGTAATTTGGGCGTGTGTGTGTGTGTGTGTTAGAAAAGAGATTGCTTAGAATATGCTGATGTCGGGGGTTGGGGGACAGAGAGACCTGGGTGGACTGTTAAGTGACAGGCAGAGCAGAGAAGACAAAGCAGGAGAAGATCAGGTAGCTGCATCGCCAACTGCGGCATCCCTGAGTGAGTCAGCGGGGCCAGGCCCAAGGGGGAAGGTCACTGTTGCTTTTGAAGAGGATGGTGGCCCTAGGAAGCTCTGCCAGGGCCCTGCAGGGCCAGCCCTTCGGTTGCAGAGACCCTACTTCGCAGCCTCCACTCCCCCCGCCGGAGCATGGAGACCCCAGGGATGCTCCAAGGGACTGCCGTTACTAGATCAAGGGAGTTGGGCTAGTATGAATCTCACCCAGCTGGAAATTTCTCTCCCACACCGAACAAGAGCTGTTCCTTTCAACACAAGCCGAATGAGTTTATTGGTAGATCGCCTGTTTCTGTTCCTTTGCGCAAATGCTGCCCTCCCTTCCCCTTATGCTTTTGTGACGAGTGCAGTTGTCATGCCTAGAAGCAGTTTCAGTTTATTGGATTTGAGATGAACCAAAATGATGGCGATGGAGGGAGGCAGGGCCAGCGGCATTGTGCGTGAGCCGTTCTCTGCAACCCGGTTGTTTTCAATGGTCTGCTTCCCTTTTTTAGCGTTTGGGCGTTCTCGTCAAGACTACAGCACGGCGGACCCCGGATTCACCATGAGGAGGAAAATGGAGCATCTGCGGGAAGAAAGGGAACAGATTAAGCAACTGCGCAATGTAATTTGCCTTTAATACAGGGGTCTCCAAACTTGGCAATTTCAAGACCTTGTGGACTTCAGCTCCCAGAATTCCCCAGCCAGCGCTGACGTTGAAGTCCACAAGGCCTTAAAGTCGCCAAGTTTGGAGACCCCTGCTTTTAGCAGGATGGATGCTGGGCCTGCTGGTGGCTTTCCTGGGTGAGCTGCTGGAGAACTGTGGATTTTGATCTTGTGTGTGTCTCCTCCTTTGCCCCTAGAATCTGGAGTTGCGGTTGAAGGTCAGCCTGCCCGAGGACATCGGAGCCGCCCTCATGGACGGGGTGGTCCTCTGCCACCTGGCCAACCACATTAGACCACGCTCTGTGGCCAGCATTCACGTCCCGTCACCAGCCGTGGTGAGTGAGCTGCGTGCATGGTCTGCCTAATTCAAGACGAGTTCCAGACGAGCCTTAAGTAAATCTCCCTTAATCTTAGGAATAGACAGAGATGTTTTGCTTCTTCTCCTCCTTGGTTGGATGTTCCTCTTGACCGTTCTGCCTCTTTCTCTCTCTCCCTCTCGACAGCCTAAGCTCAGTATGGCAAAATGCCGAAGAAATGTTGAAAATTTCCTGGATGCTTGTAAAAAACTGGGTGTGCCACAGGTAAATTGCTGAGGGGCTTAAGGACGCAAGTTGTGTTGGAGATTATTCCCTAATACCGGCAGTCCTCCACTTACAACCTCCCAAAATCTCTGTTGCTAAGTGAGTTTTGCCCCAATTTACAACCTTTCTTGCCAGACTTATTAAGCGAATCACTGTAATCGTTAAGTTAGTAACACGATCGTTCAGTGAAGCCGGCTCCATTGGCTTTGCTGGCCAGAAGGTCGCAAAATGGGATCTCGTGACCCCCCCCTCCCCGGGACACGGCGACCGTCGTAAATGTGAGTCAGTTGCCAAGCCTCCGAGTCCTGCTCTGAAGCCTGGGCCTTTGAACCGCCCGCGTAAAGGAAGCCCTTTTCCCGTTGACTTGGCTTGATTTCTTTTGAAGTGGACCCTGAAGGCAGGCTCTCTTCCTTTTGCAGGAAAGACTTTGCTTGCCCCATCACATTTTGGAAGAGAGAGGGCTGGTCAAGGTTGGACTGACGGTTCAGGCTCTCCTTGAGATCCCTTCCTCCAAAGCTTCGCAGCTCTCCTGCCTGTGACGGGGCTCCTGCCGGAGGAACTGGCCGCCATGCCCTGGGTTGGGCCACCCACCCCGAGCCTTTCCGCTCCGTCCGGAGGAATCCGCCGAGCCATTCGCCCTCAGGGCTGTCCAGGGGTCCTGGGCCGGGGGCTTGAAACCGGGATGCCAGCTGACGGTTCCCTGGGAGTGTAAAAAAAATTCCTATTTTCTTTTTTTACCGAGAGCCATAAGAGATTTGAGGCCGTTGGAGCCTCTTTCCAGTAGGGCCGGTGTTGCCCCCCAGCCCCTTGTCCCGTCTCCCGTCCTGACGGGCTTTCTTAAGAAGCCTTTGGCTGCATCCGGGCTCCTCTGGGGGCCCACGGCTCCCATGGAACAAGGGAGCTGAAGCGCAGAGCTGTGAGAAAAGCTTTTGGCGGGGAATCGCAACCGGTTGCCGCCCATTTGGTGGCATTAGGGGCTTTCGTGGACTTTACGGAGGAAGGCGGCTCTTCAAATGGCATTTACATGAAAAGTTTCGACCTGTGTCGTTTTCATGTACATTTGCAAAATAAAAAAATCACCATAGCGTAGTAGAAAACCCAGACGAGCATCACAGGAACCAGTTTTGAGAAGATTTGCATCCTTCATTTCTTGCACTTCTTACCGATGTATCATTTCCGATATTTTAGTTGGGTGTATGCTGGCAATGACAGAGTAGTACACAATATAAAGGAGAAATTGTGTGGTTGTTTTTTCCCCCAGTATTCTAGATTGGTGCCAAAATATTTTTCAGTTGTACTGTAGATTGTTTACCTGTGAAGTGCCTGTGTAATAACTTTTCCTAGTCTTAAAACATTTTTGCAGTTTCTTTACGTCTCAATAGATGAAATGCGTATTTTTAAATATTAGGTTTTTGTAAGATTGGTAATACGTGAAGTTTAAAGGACTAACATCTGAATGTTGGATGTTCTTCAGTTTGCACACTTTGAATTTATTAAGTTTGGTTTTTAGAAAAAAATGTAAATATGCTTTTATTTATCATATTTAATTTGGTATGTAATCATTTTTAAAGTATTTGTTGGTTGGTGGATGTTTGAAAAATTATTTTCCTCGTCTGGGATAAATAATGACATGTAGGGATTTTAATTGAGAATCCTACAGGAGAGTGTTAGTTAAAAACTTTTCAGTAAAACTGCCAAAAAAGTTTTTTTTAAAGAAAAAATAATAATCTCAGGTTTATATTATGATAGCCAGGATTTCATAGCTCGCTCCCAACATCATACAATCTTTTGTGCTGTGCTTGAATGAGGAATAACGTAAAGTAGAGGAGAGATTGGTAGCCCTGATCAAATCTCTCCCTCCCCCTCTGGTTTAAGGGATTGAGCAATTCCTCCTGTGTGTTGTGGGTCACAACATCCTGACTGCCAACCCACTCCAGTGTTGCTGCCAAGGGTATGTGTGTGTGGAAAGGAAATACAGCTGGGGGAATGGGAAGGAGGAATGATGTGTCTGTGTGTGCATGTGCATGACAATTCCAGAGATATCATCTCTGATGTTCTTTTCCATTGCCACCTTTTAAGAGAGCAGCCAGTATTACAAGCTGCACACACACACACACACACACACACACGCATAGGCACACACGCACACTCCCATGTTCTTTCAGTGTTGCTGTTCATTTTGGGAGCTGTTTTAGGCCTTGCCTGCTAGAGCCATTGGGGGCTTGAGAGATGGTCCCCGACCCCCAAGGTCCCTTTCAGAGTCCCCCCTCCCTTCCCTGCAGAGGACCTCCCTGCCCCGGGGCCCACGAGAGGGAAGCATTGAGGGGGGGGGTCTGCCCCACGGCATTGGGAGATGTCTGGGAAAAAGCTTTGCATTGCTCTGTTTTGAGAATTGGCATTTCCACTGTTCCCTTCGTAGTTATTAAGGTTCAGCTTTTGCTTGTAGACTGATTTGGTTGGACTAAATTATTTTTTCTTGCTGAAAATATTAAGAAATGAATTTCTTTGCACTTTTTTTGCAGCCCAAAGAATTCCACGCTTGACGAAGCATGTTGCAGGGTTGCGATGACAGTTGTAGAGGTACACAGTGATCTCTCCCACCCACCCATGTGCAAAATGAGGCTCAGCACCACGTTCCCCATTGCTGCAGGGGTGGTGGGGAATGTATTGACTATAAGGAAGCTTTTAAAGAGGTTTTTCAATTGGATTCTTATTTATTTCCATTTCAGGCAAAAAGCTCAGATGAATTCTGCCTTTGGGTAGCTTTGGGATAGAGATCTATTTGCCAGGGCAATTTGTGTCCTTTTCCCAAGGAGCACAAACCTTACCAGTCTAACTCAATATAAAAAAGGGGGAAGAGATAAAATAGGTCCGTGCAGAGGGGCTCAGCCCAATGTGAAGAGACAAGGTGAGTGGGTGTGCTTCATAGGCACGACACCTGCACACAGATGGATTCTGGAGAGGCAGAAAACCCTGGCTTACGGGGGCAATTACTCTGGCCCATGCCTGCTACACAAGAATTAAATCCATTTTTTTTTCTGGGTGGCTCCAGTGCCAATTATTTCTGGCCTTGCGTTCCTCGAGACGATGACAGCCCTGTTGAAACTTGGGCTCCCTTGTGGGAGACAGGGAGAAGAGAACAGGTGGCCTCTTTGTGTTTTGGAAAAGGCAACTGCCTGTTTCTGGGCTCTGCAGTTCTTTGTCTTCAGCCTAGAAATTCTTCTCCTGTAGTTGGTCCTTGCAGGAGAGCAAAGCCTCATCAACACTCAGCTCAGGCAAGGCTGTTTGCTGTCTTCTACCTAAAAAGGAGGCAGAGGGCTTTGGGTAAAAGGGGACTTCTTCTAAATTTCTCTACCTTCAGAGCTTCCTCCTCTGGAGATGTGATTCTTCAGAGACCTGTGGAAAGCGTGGTTGGGAGGTCCATAAAAACTTCTCTTCTGCTTCTAAGGTAGGGATCTCCAACCTTGGCAACTTTTAAGACGTGTGGACTTCAACTCCCATGCTGGCTGGGGAATTCTGGGAGTTGAAGACCCCAAGTCTTCAAGTTGCCAAGGTCAGAGACCCCTGTTCTAAGGTATGCCATGCCACGGGATGGGGTCTGCAACCACGGCCTGTGGGAAGTGGCCCTAACTGGGCATCAGGTCGAGTCCTTCCTGCCTGTTCTGGGGTGGGGTGTCTGTGTGTCAAGCCAGAAGTGTTTATGTAAGTCTTTTTCTTGACTTTGCGAAATGTCCTTGAAGGGCCAGACTTTTTGAATTCTTGAAGTCTCCTTCCTTCATTTGTTCTGCATTAAAATGCAATTGTGAGCTCATGTTAAATTAAAATGCATGAAATGATTTGTTTATATTTAGATCAGCCTCCTCCAGTTGATTGTTCTCTGTATATATCGGCGTTCAGTTGCCCTAACCTTCAACCAGGACAGGCATGGTTTCAGGGTACCTGACTGGGAAAATTTGGTCTTCAGCTATTTATTGGTTTTGTTATTTGCTGGTTTAGATGCTTTTAAGGTTGTAGGAGCTAGGATTTTTAATTCTTTTGAAATAAAAAGGGGGGCATCCTATCTTAAGAACAAACATATGGAAAAATAGAGGTAAATGAAATTCTTAGTTCCCCCACAGTCCCCCAGACACTGGGTAAATAAAGCAAAGTGTGTGTGTGTGTGTGTGTGTGTGTGTGTGTGTGTGTGTGTGTGTTCCATGTATTAGTCCCCTTTATTTTGTTTTTATATGAATCTAATTTTTCTGCCCCGTCCCTTTATAATGTTTCTCTTCTCACTATCTGGCCTCCGTATAATTCTTGTGCAGAGAGTACCTAGGATGTCCAGGAGTTTTTAAGTCATATAAGTATTGAATAAATGCAATAAATAAATAATCAGCTCTCAGGCCCCGGTCCTTCATTTCTCCGGCATGCCAGCAGCAACATGAGCCCAGCCGGAGCGCCAAAAGGTGAAGGGAGACGCCTGCCAGCCAAGCCGGGTTGATGCTCAGATGGGCAGTCGGGGTTAAGCAGAGATGTGCAAACTGTGGAATGATCTGTGGACCCTCCATGGACCAAAAGGGTCCGGTTGATGAGTTTTGTGTTTGTCAGGGTCTTCTTTTTTTTTTTAAACTACTTCTTAATTGTTAACCATTCCTTTTGTATCTCCTTTCTTTAATTCCTAATCCTAGCCAAATTCACACAGTTGCTCTTTTTATATGCCTAAATGCAAATCAGTTTGGAAGTAGCCAGGAACTCTTCTTTTGTGTCTGTCTGTTGCCATTTGGAATTCATGCTCCTTTCCTGTTCTCGCTGGTGCCATGTTAACACAGCTCTCTGATGCTTTCTGGATTTCTTCTTGCTGGAGCTTCCGACATCCGTGTTTCCTGGAACAGTCCTGTTTTGTTTTCTTTTGTACAGAGTTTTCTATTGAAATCTGCATGGATAAACCTAATGTACATATTCTGTGTATAAAATGAAAAGTCTTTCGTAATTCTCCCCTGGCGTTGTGTGTTCTGTAGCTTTTGGGTCCACATTTGTCTGCATGTGGGCGACACAACGGCTGGGGGGGCAGGGTTGTCCGGCACGGCTTCTTCACCGTTTTAGGGGGGAATCTGCTGTGTTTCCAACTGATCCAGTCCAGCTTTAAGAGTTCATTAGAGATAGATTGGCCTCCCTAGGTTCGACCCCTCTCCCTCCCTGTCATTCCCATTTTTTTCACAATGACAACCTTGTGGGGAAAAATGCTAGTAGGAGGAACCACAGCTCAACAAGGAGCAATTTCATACCTGAAAGCGGCTTTTAATGTTTAAGGAGATTCCTACCCAATTGTCTTCGCTGAACATGCTTAGCCCATCCCTTTCCTGGGCAAGAAAACAAAAGGTGCCCATTTCTTTGTCTCTGCCTAATTTCATCAAGGGCTGAATATTTGGAGCTGCAGAAATCAATCAATCAGAATAGAGCTGGAAGGGACCTTGGAGGTCTTCTAGTCCAACACCCTGCTCAAGCAGGCGACCCTATATCATTCCAGACAAGTGGCTGTCCAATCTCTTCTTAAAGCCTCCAATGATGGAGCACCCACAACGTCTAAAGACAAGCTGCTCCCCTGGTTAATTGTCCTCACCCTTAGGAAGTTACTCCTTAATTCCAGGTTGCTTCTCTCCTTAATTAGTTTCCATCCATCCATCGTCTTGCCTTCTGGTGTTTTGGAAAATAAGTTGAGTCCCTCTTCTTTTTGGCAGCCCCTCAAAATACTGGAATACTGCTATCATGTCATGCCATGATGGAGGGAGGCCTCCCCAGTCCAGGAAACCAAAGGGGAGGAGAAGAGCCATGTAGAGCTCGGAAGAAGACTTCTATAATTTTTCATCCCCCCTCTGCTGTCAGAAAGCCGGTGGAGGGCTTTGAAGGCCCCCTTCTCCAGCATCCTTGGGGAAGGAGGGCTTCACGCTCCAGCTGATTCCTGGCAGCAGAGATTTCCCCCGCTGAGAATGCTCAGAGGGCCAGCCCACAAATAGCACAGCAGTTTCTCCAGCAGTGATACAATATTGGCCTCTAACACCTTCCAACTATCACCAGTCCAGCTGTGGCAAACGGGGGGGGGCACTTTCACTACCCTCCATGACCAAGATCAAGACTTACATAGCCAAGAAGATGGAAGAGGTTCATCCAGAGTTTTCTTTGGGTATCTCAATAAGAAACGTTGACGTCTCCAAGCCCAAATCCCTTTATTTGATATGTAACTTATAACTGACCACTGAGACCCAACAAAAAGAAAGATAAAAAAGAAAACCCACCTGAGATTAAGGGTGTTTTGTTCATGCACCAGAATTAAAATAACATTTCCATAAGCAAAACAAGCAGCTGCTCCCATGGGGGACCCACCTGCTCCGTTCCCCACAACCAAGACGTTCTGATTTTAAGTATGGTGCAAAACAAGGAGCTACAAGTATGAAAGCTGAAATGGAAAAAAAAGTTTTGTTCGTAATACCTTATTTACAATGTTCTTTGACTAACAGGAACATTGTTCGTAGCTATGAAATTCAGACAGGAGCAGAAGTGTGTAAGTTTACACACTGCTTGTTTTTTCCCCGCTGCAGCTGTTTACTGAGATCTCTGGGGTCCCTACATGCATAGCCAAAGCCTCCTCCTCCTCCTCCAGCTCCGTGCTGTTGAGTTCGTGGCGGTAACTGTTCAAGTTGAGATCCTTCCCATAGAAGGCTGTGGAGGAGACGTTGGGGTACTGGTTGTGCAGCTGGGAGGCCCTTTTGCCACTCTCGTAGCGGCACCGGATATAGTTAGAGAAAGCCCTGCGGTAGATCTTGTTGAAGAGTGTGTAGACAAGGGGGTTGACCCCTGAGCAGATGTAGCCCACCCAAACAAACACATCCAGAAGCTCACGGAGGACAGCCTTGTCGCAGGCGTCCTTGCAGAGAACGGACATGATGTTGGTGATAAAAAATGGGCACCACATGATCAGGAACAAAAAGAAGACAATCCCCAAGACCTTGGAGGCCCTGCGTTCGTTGTTGATGGACTGCATGGTGCCTTTCCGGAAAAGAACTTCTTTGTTGACTGGAGAGTTTAAGTGGGAAGCTGCCTCGTGGTTCTGCAGCATGGACAGGTTCTCCACGTTGGGGTCCTTCTTCAGGCAGCTCATGCTGCTCCTCCTCGGCTTGAGGGGCTCCCCGTAGAGGAAGAGAGACGCCTGCTTCTGCAGGACCTGGATGGTCAGGCAGTAGGCAACCACCATGATCATCAGGGGGATAAAGAAAGCCACAAAGGAGCCGATGAGGACAAAGTTTTCGTCGTTCAGGACACAGCTTCCATTCACAAAGAGCCGAGAATCATCTTGCAAGCCGATGACTGGGATGGGCAGTGAAATACCTGGAGGAGAAGACAGGCCAAGAAGAAACCATCAAGAAAAGCAGACACAGAGAAAAGGGCTGCTACTTCAATTGAACTGGCAACTGGGCCTTGAATACCTTTGATTTGGGCATTGTCGGAGTGACGTGTCCCACCAGAGCTTCCTCTGTCAAAGGAAGTGAAGGTGTCCGGGGGAGCTGGGGAAAGAGTGACTTTGGGGTCAATTTAGAGATGCTTAATGAAATCTGCATTTTCCCACGGTCCTTGGTATTAACCCTCCAAGATCCCTCAGTTCTTCAGAAAAAGTTGAATCTTTTTTTTTTTTTTTGGAGATTGGCTCTGATTAACAGAGTCCTGCACATTTGATTGTGCTGAACTTCCTTCCCTTTCTTATACTATTGTGACTTTGACTGTAGAGGTGAAGTTGGTTTACAGGAAAGTCCACCAAACCTAAAAAATAGCTATGGGCACCTTTTCCTACAAAGGGCGCCAGAAATGTGACATCGTTAGGAGAAATAAGATGTGATCTTCCTTGGCTCCACTAGGTGGTGCACACAGTCCTGATGGGAAGGCAGGCGGCCATCTTGGACAGAAACATTGCTGAAGCCAAAGGCTTCTGCCTAACTTTCTACGCGGCTCAGGAGCCCACCCCACGTCTCCCTTCCTCACTTGCCCCCCCCCCATACCCATCATGTAGAAGCATTTGCGTTTCATTTCAAGATTCTCTCTTGACAAGACAGGTCCGCAGAGGGGGCTGGTCACCCTTGTGGTCCCAGGGCATGTGGACACCCATAGCAAAGGAGTCCTGCTTCTAAGCAGGCAAAGGTGTGGGGCGAGAAGCTGCCACATGTTACCCCAGAGCAGCGTTTCTCAACCTTGGCAATGTTAAGAGGTGTGGGCTTCAACTCCCAGAATTCTCCAAACGAAGTCCACTCTTCTTAACATTGACAAGATTAAGAAATACTGTTCTAGGCAGCTGCCCATGAAGCATTGATTGATCTGTTATTGGTTGAATGAGTGACTGAGTGACTGACTGGCTCCAGTCTGTAAAAAAAAAAAAAAGACAGTCTAATAAAATCTAGATTAAATCTAGTAGAAGATTGATTGGTTAACTGAAATGAATCATTTTAAATATACAATATTAAACAGGTAACACGGAGAGGCAACCAAGATTCCTCTTGAATAAACTCTTCCAGGCATTTGAATGAAAATACCTTTGGTTTTCCACAGCAATTGATTATCTGCTGCCCTTCAGCCCAGACAACACAAAGGTCTCAAACGTATTGTTTTATTATGATTGTGATTATCCTTTTCAACAGAGCATCCCTGAGGACAAGACCAACGAGAGGGACCACTTACCCATCGAAATGGTCCAGACGGCTGCGATCTTCATGATGGCCTTGGTGCGGGAATTGAACCGGCTGTGCTCAATAGGGTTGCGGATGGCGACATAGCGGTCGAGGGAGATGGCACAAAGGTGCATGATGGAGGCCGTAGAGAAGAGCACATCTAGGGAAATCCAGATGGGACACAGTTGTTTAGGCAAGGGCCAAGCATAATCTGGAAGAGAGAGAGGCAAGGAAGGAGACGTGAGTGGAAGAGGGCTCCAGCCCAGAACAGAGGGGGAGGGGGAGGAGGGAGGAAGAGGAGGAGAAGGAGAAGGAGGCTCACTCAACCACAAGCTGGGTACCACGCTGGAACTGCTCTTGAGCGATGCTGGGGCAAAGCGCCTGGCATGCAGGAGGTACCACATCCATGACAGGATCCAGGAACAGGGAAATGAACCCTCATGGGGAGTCACTGCCTCGACAGTCCAGGGGGAAGAAAACCCACCCAAGAGAAAACCATCTTCTAGATCAGGGGGAATCCAACCATGGCGACTTTAAGATCTGTGGATTACAAAGGTATAAATATCACATCCTGACGGTTGCAGATTCCCACCATGGGTGATTTGGTGACTGCTTCCTGCTGAGTAAACAGAGCTTGCTGGTGAAGCTTGGAAGGCCCTGGCTGAGGACCCTGCTCCATACTTGGGGTGCCAAGCGAACTTAGGCAGAAGACACCATGCAGCTTCTTCTGTTCCAAAATGAGGAGTCCAAATCTCTAGGCAATCTTTTGGAATTTGTCCCAAGATTTAACCAGATTATGTGACAAGCAAAATTGTGCACTGGGGTTGGGGGCATTTCTTAAATGTAATAAAATATTAATGCAAAGCCTCCCATAGTTATGTTTCAGTTTATTTGTTGACCATCTTGATGTCATCCAGAGTTCTGTTTTGCTATTTTTATCTGTGTTTTACATTCCCTGGTTGTAATAAGGTAGGAGGATGAGTCTGAAAAAGGACAATTTTAACAAGTGAAGCCCTTAAAAAAACGCTCCTATTTTCATCCCTGCAGAGAACCTGTCTTTCCACAGCACAGCTGCCTTGTTGAATTGCAGTGAGGGGCTGTACCTGTACACGGCCCCAAATACCTTTCAAAGGGGCTGCTGCTGTTCTGTAAGTGTCCAGCCAGGGCATTTTCATCCTCCAGGTCCCCTTGGAAAAAAAATATGCTCAAAGGCTGTTTCAAATCCTTTGTGCATCCAGAGACAAGCTGGATTGCACACTCCCAGTTTTAGGCATTTTCAAAAGCAGCCTGGAGTCTGTGTGTTTCAACAAAAAAGATATAAATGGTTTAAGGAAATAAATGTAGAACGATGAGCCGTGTCCCGAATACCATCAATCTCTAAACCATGATCAGCTTTGCGATGCCAAAGGAAACATCTGAGCCCTACAGAGCTCTCTAAAGCGCCAGAGGCAAGAGGGGAGAAGCTGCGATAAAAACAGCAATGGTAGCCGTCAATCAAAGCACCAGAAATAGGAAATTGTTTAAGTCTATTGAAAATTCCTCCCCTCCTTTTTCCGAAGACTGCTCTGCCTTCCAGCATCCAAAGTGCCCTCCTGGACTTTTCAGAGGAAATAATGGATTAATTTTCCAGCTGAACTTGTTAATGGCATTCACTTTCCTGACAAGGTTGAAAAGCCAGCTGCCTCCGTCTCAGACGAGATCCTGCAGATGGACTGATGGGTCCTCCCCAGTGGCGGAGAGCGCACACCGCAGCCTGGCAGTTGACAGACGGATGAACTTCAGCTACAATCTGCATTTCTCGACACTCCTGGAGCGTTACGGCCAGGCGGGCCTGCACTTCAGGTTGCACGGGTGTGCCAGACTCCCTTGCTTCCTTTTTGGAGATCTCCTAATTATTCCTGGGATATTTGTGGTGGCCTTCATCGTTAATTTTCTTTCCCTCTGATTTGCTCTGGGCCATATGTGGTTTTGGCACAGGGCAAGACCAAGATGACGAGGGTGTGACCTTACTGGCAAAGGAGGCAATTCCATGTGGAAGCTCTTGAGAAGAAGTAAGCCAACTGAAGGTTCCAGGCCTCATGTGGGAGCATCAGAGAAGGGATTCAAACTGCCAGAGCTGGTCGGTGGCAGACAGAGGATTCCAACAGATCCTGGATGGCTACAGCTTCTTAGTTCAAACATGGACTCTGTCACAAATTGGGAAAGATGCTCAGATCTCTCCCTTCTTACTAAAAGGTAGCCTCGCTCATGGATGACGGTGTCCCCTTCAGAAACTGACCAGCCATTTCTTTCTCCCTTCAGCCCTGAATTGTCTTCTTTGTTGGTTGGTGGCTCTCCAAGGCTGCAGACTTTTTCCAGCCCAGTTGAGATCCCAGATCCCATTCCTCTGCAGACCTGGGACTGAGCCAAGAGAATACCCTATGATAAAGATCCACCAAGCTCAGTGTGGCAGCTGCTCCCCGGGGTTTCAAGGGAACCAGTTGAGCAGACCTGGGAGAACGAGCAGATGTTCTGTAGTGGAGGTGTTCCACCTTTTATCCCCCAGGGCAAAGTGACAGATATGTGGGCCCGCTAGAAATAAACCAGCCCTGTTTAATTTCTTGTATTTACTACTTTGCAGTGCTTGAGATTTTTTAAAGAACAGACAAAACATACATGCTGTGGGAATGTCTGCTGAGTGAGTTATAAGCCAGGAGCTGGGGTCATTGCTGTGTTTGCACAGGGAGATTTTTTCCCTGGGTATTGCATTAAGTGGGTGCTTCTCAACTTCTGCAATTTTAAGATGCATGGACTTCAACCCACCAAATTCCCCAGCCAACATTGCAGCCCATACATCTTAAAAATGGCAGAGCTTGGGCAATGGAGATGTTTCCTTCAGAGGCACAGAGGTCGTCTTTGCTTCTTAAACCAGACCCATGAGGTCTTCCAAACACTTAAATCTGAGAATGCAAATATGAGTAAACTATGTGAAAAAAAAAGTTCTTGTTAGAAGCTAATGTAAGTGCGGCTATGAAACAACTGATTTCACAGATAGGACTCCCTTGTCAGGGAGGCAGAGCTGGTCTCGCTCTACATTTGGTGTGAGAAACCTTGAGGTGTGACTTTGCCTTCCCCAGTGCTCTCAGTTAAGGTGGCATTTCCCCCCTCTGAGAGGAGAGGAGAGAGCAGGCTAATGTCCCCCCTTGGGGAAGAAGCACGGCCATCTGCCTTAAAGAGCTGCCTGACCTGGACGTATTCCTTCACTTCAGCCAAGCTGCTTCCTTGCTGGTCTTCCGAAGTTCTGCTTGCCTCCATTGGCAGCAGGAGCTGAGGTGGCTTCTTAGCCCCAAGCCAGAGAGAACAGATATCGCTGACCATTTCTTGAGCAGCTTTTCTCCACCTCAGCTACTTTAAGCTGTGTGGACTTCAACTCCCAGAATTCTCCCTATGCTGGCTGGGGGATTCTGGGAGTTGAAGTCTACCCAGCTTAAAGTTGCCAAGGTTGGGAAATGCTAAATCTACCTAGAGAACAGGGAGGGGCTTTGGGTGTGAATTAGTTTATCTGCAAAATATCTGGAGATACCTGGCACTTTAAAGCTCTGAGGAAGTTCAGAGTTGCAAGAAGCGAGGCTGAAAAAGAAGAACAGCCAAGCCCCAAATTAGAGCACAAAACAATTCCTTTTTGTGGAGTCAGCCCCCAGTTGCCCTTGCCTTCAGCATAAAAAGGCCCCAGGTGATGTGCGCAAAGTTTGTCTTGAAAACTGAAAACGTTTGCGGCAGAAATTCTGGCTTGCAGAGCCGAGGAGGTAATTGGGTATTTCTGGAGTGACTCCAAGCTGCTCTTTCGCTTGTGGGAAACTTGGCGTTTCAACATTTAAAAACAAAACAATGATCAATAAACACAAGAAAGCAATGAAAAGAGCAGCATGAAGTCAGGCGAAACAGCTAAAGATGAAAGGTGGAGAAATATGAGGGGGTTAAGGGGGTTGGGACTGTCTTCTACTCCACCTTCAGCTATGGAAGACCCTCTTTCTCCAGCCCCAAGGCTGTTATTGTGGAGCGGGGAACTGTAGATACTGCCTTGAACTCCTGCCAGAAAGGTAAGATAAAAATCAGCTAATAATTAAACCAATTAACCAGTTAGCACAACCCACTGAAGTGTAGTCTAACCAACCAGGTTGGATTTACCTCTTGACCCCCAACATTTAGCCAAGCACATTCTGGTCTTCTGCATTGTACAAACTCAGTTGGGTGTGGAAGAAAGGCAGGAAAGCAGATTTCCAATCAAATTAAAAATTGGATTCCTACATTCCTATCAGGCGCAAAGAATCAGAACCATTTATGAATGATTACTGAAGCCTATACACAAGAATCTGGTCAATCAACCATCAGCACTAAATTGGCACCAGATAAGTGTCAATGAAATTCAAGAGGGAGCTGGACTTGGGTCTCTTGTGGCAACGCCTGGATTCTAAACTGATACCCATTTTACTCTGCCCTCCAGTTCTCCCTGTTCTTCTCTTACGATTCACTCAGAAGGTACAGCATTCAATCCAAGAAGATTCCTGGAGTCAATTTCAGCTCCTGGAAACTCCGCAGACAACATCCATGATCTTCTCTTGGCAACATTATGGAAGCAGTTGGTCCTTCCTCCAGGAAGTTTTTTCAACTTCCAGGATAAAAGCTTCAGACCTTCAGAAATTTCTGATGGACTCTCATCCAAATTAGGGTTAGTGTTAAACCTTGCTTAACCTCCAAGGCTAGGTGAGGACTGCCAACTTTCTAACCCATCTGACTAGAGATAGTTCAACATCCTGTTGCTATTATCCATATTCCTGTATGTTCTTCTAGAAAGACTGAAGAACATTCTGCCCTAATACATGAAAAAGACTGAAGAATGGTTTGCCAAGAAAACACACCATGTTCCTTCCTTAAGGGCTGGGTCGGTTTTCTTATTTCGGAGATTTCACACTCCGATCCTGCTTTCCAGGAGTTCAAACTCAACAGTTTTTATTATGCCTCTCCACCTTGGCTTCTATTTATTAGCACAGATTTTTAATTAGTCCTTCAAGATCTTGCTGTGGTGGAAAACACATAAGATGTCAGGCATAACACAAGAGGAAGTTGAATAGTGAAGGCTTAGCCCTTCAACCCTTTGCTCAAGTCTCTCCCAGCAGATGGACCTGGTGGCCCCTTCAGAGGCACTGCAACAGGGCACAGATCAGGGAATCCTGACTTCTACAGAAAGAAGGTGGCTGAGGAAGACATGAAGGGAAGACCCATGTGGGGAAAGAGGACACGTCTGCTTTTTCAAGAATGAACATTGTTTCAAGAATTGAGGGAAACTATAAAAGCAGCTCTCAAACCAGGCATTCTTCCACCCCCATGACCTGTAGCTGGCGTGGCTGCTCTGGAGAACTGCATTTCCCTTATGTGCAGAAGAGTAGAGTGGTGTTCCTATCCAATTGAAGGGCACCTGATGGACGGGGGAAGGCAAGGCCAATTGATCCAAGCAGCTTTTTTCTCCTCTGGAAAGCTGTCTAAGCTTTGAAGTTGCCCCAAAGAATCATCTCCAGAGATTGGAAGCAGAATAGGGGGGGACAGGATTCTAAGTCTCTGGACCACTGTTCCATCCGTCTCCTCACCCTTCTCTTGGCCAACACCCTTGGCGCAGGGTGCTCAGCCACGAAGTACAGCTTTTGCAATGAATTCCCAAATCTCAGTCACATACATCAATGGGTTCAGTGTTTCCCAACCTGGGCCATTTGAAGAAGCGTGGACTTCAACTCCCAGAATTCCATAGCCAGCATGGAATTCTGGGAGTTGGTCCACACATCTTTAAGTGGCCCAGGTTGGGAAATACTGAATGAAAGTAAGAGATGCCACAAAACCCCACTTCCCTTCTGCTGCCCACAAGGATCCCATCATCTCAGCATTAGTGTCACTGGCCCCTTTGAAGACCCACAGATCGGTAGACCATCCCCTGAAGACTCCTGGCTCTGGAGCTCTTCCTCCTGTGGCTACTACAAGCCAGTGTTTTCTGCACATGCAAAACAGTCCCCCAACGGGAGAGGTAGAGAGCAGGTCCCATCTCAAACTGGGTGCCCTCCTGTGCTCAGGTCGACCAGTGGGAACAGCAGTGAAGAAAAAAGGCAACCCTGCTCATGCATTCATTGAAAGGCACTTGTCCCAGGCACCACAGCCCTCTTATTGACACCAACGGTGGCGGACTTACCATAGAGAATAGTGATCAGAGATACTGGCATCACCAGAATGCCCACCAACATGTCCGCCACAGCCAAGGACATCAGGAAGTAGTTGGTGGCGTTTTGGAGCTTCTTCTCCAAGGAGACCGCCATGATAACCAAAATGTTCCCACCGATAGTCAAGACAATGATGACCAGAATCAGGAGGGCTGGCCAGTTCTTCTCCTTGATGGACTTTCGAGAGATGTCTGCCCCCATGGAGGAATTCAGAGGATCAGTTGTTGGCAAACTGTGATTCCCAGTCAAGTTGTGACTCAGTGGCCAAGCCATCAAGCTGCTGTGCAGGCTGAAGTCCAGAGTGATGGATACTGTGGTCAAGCCAAGAATCCCTCCCCCATTGAGGGCACTCATCCTTGGCACACAGGTGCCTTCCTCTCCTCAGGAGCACCTGCAAACCAATCCCTTTCTCAGAGGGGAGAAGACAGAAGGCAACCACTGGATGGCCCAGCGCTGGCCCAACAAAAGTGCTTGACCTTCCATAGCGGATGAAAGCTTGTTGAAGCCAGAGCAATGTTCTTCCAGGCTGCCATGCAGGCCAGGGCCCAGAGCCTGGAGAGGTCAGCTGGTGAGGAGTGATGTGATCTTGGCAGCAATATCCAGCGTGTCCTCAAGGCCAGCATTCTGTGAAAGAAAGAAACACCTTCACTCACACAGCCGCTGGGGCAAAACCAGGCAGGAGCACACGTGTGGTTTCCCCACCAGCTCTGTTCCCCCACACCCAGAAGTCTCACTTCTCTCCTCTGGTAGTGCCAAGCCTGGTAGAAGAACCCCCTGGTGGGCTTCCAAGCCCTCCGTTTGTCTCATGTACAGTGCCCGACGGTGGAAGAATGAAGCATCCCGAAGAAGGGGCTCTTCATCAGCAAAGAGCTCAGTCTGGCCCAGAAAAGTTTTGCTTCCACAACCTTTGAAGGCACCCCAAAACTTTCTGTGTCTTTCCTGCAGCAGATGGAATGTGACTCTTGCCCCAGGGGAACTCCCAGCCCCGCCACTTCCACCAGGCCAAAGAAAGCTAGAAAGGAATCATTGCCCTACATGGAAATATTTGGAACGAGTGGAGGAGAAACAGCACAGCCATTCGAGAAGGGGGAGAATTTCATTTTGGCTAATAAAGCCAGCTGTGAGTCTAATTCCAGACACGGTTGGACATCCCACAAGGCCAACAAAGCAGCAAAGAGGGGAGGAGATTTGGAGGAGACATGCCCATCACATCTCCTCCACAAGGCCCTAAAGAAATGGCAGAGAAAATGGAGACCAACACGAGAGCCTCTCCTGGAGAAGAACAGCTACTCAAGAAGTGCTTCAGGGAGGCACCTCCTGGGTTGGCCTTGCCCAGGTAGCACACACGGACACCAAGCCCTGCATCCTCACCTGGCAAAAGGGGAGTTGTGGTCCAGCGCTCCCAAAGAGGCTGGCCTGGGGGAAGCCGTGGGAGTGAGGCTGTTCCACTCTCTTTTCGCTTCCCTTCCTTCTTATCTCCCTGCCTCCTGATGATGGAGGAACACCGGCCTCTTTGCAGCAGGAGGCCAGGCCTGGCAGCAAAGCCCAGAGGATAAATCAATGTCAGGAAGAGAGCAGGAAACCTTTAGCCCAGACCTGCTGCCGGCTCCAGGGAGCCAAGGGGGTCAATCCCTAGAGAAGCTGCAACTGCCACTCGCTCACATCCGAGAGGAACTGTTTTTTTACTTGCAGGCCAGGTCAGCCAAACCCAGGGGGCTCTCCGATGCATTCAACCCGGAGGGAGCCAAAGAGGCTGGTGAAGGTCTGTTAAACCCATTTACTGAGGCTAACATTGGTCAAAGCTAGCAGAGGTATTCTTACAACTCCAAGAGAGTCCGATGGAGAAGGGGCATTCAGACAGAGCAATGTCTTTTTCAAAGCTAACACAAGAACGACCGTGATCCCCACTAAAGCTGGAGGAGGATTGGTGGGAGGCCACAGAAGAGGTTTTCAGCATCCTAAGACAGCATGGCAAAGAGCTTCTGGAGCATTTTATATGGGGACACCCCCCCACACACACACACTCACACAAGAAACACCCGCTTAATTAGGAGGGCTCTGCAGATTCTACATGCCGTCTGCCAAGTGTCTGAATTTGTGCCACCTGACCATTGGGATGCAGCAGCCTGGGTGCAAGGACCGGTCTGAAGTCCCCTTTTCCAGTATTGTTGTAACTTTGAAAAAAGCACTAAATGATGGGTTACAAATTGAGGACTTTCAGTGTAATGTTTTGACTTTCCCACCTTCCTTGGAAGCCTTTTTGGTGGTGACCCCTCGTCTTTGGAGTAATCTTCCAAGGGACAAAGATGCCCCGACTTTTCAAAAGCTTTTTCAGCGATTCAGCCTCTTCGCTGGCTTTCAAACTTTCTCCTGCTGCTATTTTTAGTTTCCTAACTGAATGCTTTTCCTCATAATTGGATTGTTTGTTTTGCCTTCTAAAAATGGCTTAATGAATTTAGCTGACCTTTGAAAGTGAGCCTGGGCCCAGGGCCTCCTCCAAAGGGCTCGTCTGTGGGAATGCTTGGGAGGAAGAGCCCCATCTGCACCCAGGAAAGTCACAGCCCAGGGGCCACTTTTGACTTCCCAAGCTCTTCATCTCAACTCTCTCTCTTTAGCTCTGCCCTTGATGGTTTGTACCGAGTTTTTGTTTTCAGTTGCTGGGCCAGCCAGGCTTAGAACCATCTGAAAATTGCCTGGGTGGGATCCTGCAGCCCCAAATGCTTTCAGCCATAATTTCAAGAGGCGAAGTCTCCTTGGTCACTGGAGCGAAGAACAAGCAAATTCAAATCTCTTATACACCCATTTCAAGCCAGCCTGTTCTGCAATCTGGTTCAGGAACAGGTTGAACCCAACGGCATCGTCTCACTTGATCTTCCCCTCTGCAAAGGCAAAGCTCTGCTCTTAGCTCATTAAAGGAAAGAGGCATGTAATATTCTTGCAATAAACGTGTGAATTATGTACACCTTCCCAACATTAGTTGTGAAGTTTTCAACCTCTCTTCCACCCTTTGGACCTTTATCTCCCTTTCCTTAGCTAATTTTCAGCTTAATGGCTTGTCTTTCACTTTGGCTTGTAACTGGTAGAACCCCAGTTATTATTATGCCAGGATGACCCAGCCTGGATCTCTCCTGACAGTGCTGGAGTGCACATAGGTATTGATTTTAGGGGGAAGGAATGTCTTTAAAGGGGGGGACACAAGGCCAGTGCATCAAACTTTGTTCCCCCCCAAGTCCTATCTAAAAAGTCTTCCAGAAAATGTTGAGATCTTGCAGTCAGTCACCTAATGACCCAGAGGCCTCTCAAAGATATGTTATTATCAGAGAATGTCTCTGTCGTTAAAAAAATGATTAACTTTGACCTGCAGAAGGAACAGTTGAGAGAACATTCTGGTGAACCTAGAACTAAAGAGAAATTTCCTGACAGTGAGAACAATTCACCAGTGGAACTCCTTGCCTTCAGAAGCCGTGGGTGCTCCATCCCTGGAGGCTGTTAAAAAGAGATTGGACAGACATTTGTCCAGAATGGTATAGGGTCCCTTATTTGAGCAGGGGTTGGACTAGAAGACCTCCAAGGTCCCTTCCAATTCTATTCTGAGTGATTGAGCTACTTTTGGCTTGGTCTCCAAAACAGATCAGGAATAAGAATCAGAAGGCAGGCACTTCACACGCCCATGGGGCTCAGCTGCAGCCCCCATCCCTGAGCCCCCCACAATGCCAGCTTCAGCCCCCTTTGGCTGCCCTAGCCAGATCTGCCCCACTCAGCCATTCTCAGCCCCCCAAGAGGGGTCCACTCCTCTCTAACTGTCCCCACCTCCCGCCCGAGAGAGCTCAACTCCCTCACTTTCTGGTGGCTGCAGGTTCCCCCCCCCCCGCCTGAGCTATTGTTGGCTGCCTCTGACGACAGTGAAGACGGCAGAGCCAAACTTGGAACGTGGTGCTCCCAGTTGTGGCATGAATCAGCGCTCCACAAGTTGCGATGATGACTCAAGAGCTGGAGTTGTTTTCTTCCTTCCCTTCGGCTGCTCCAGTGGGGCTTCATCTCCTCCAACTGCTGCTGCATGCAGCTGGACTCACTTGGCTTTAGCTGCCGCTCCTTAAAGTCAGAAGCACAGTCCTGATTCTGCAGCAGACAAAGGGGGGTTGTGAAGACCCTCCTCCCCGGGTGCTTCCAGGCCCGTGGGAATCCTCAGTGAAGCTGCTTTCCTCACCCGCCTGTCGCGTCTCCTTCTCCTCCTGCTGTCCACCCACCCCGCTTTCCTGAAGAATCTGACAGCTGAATTACAGCCATCTCTCCCCAGAGTCAGCCGGGGCTCCTCAGCCGCCCCCTCCTCAGAATGGCCCAGACCAATGCCCGCCTGGAGAGCCCGTCCCATTGCCTGGCCTGGAAAGGAGCATCCGGGGCCACCCCACAGCGGGCTCCAACCAGGAGCACTTCTGAAGGAGACCAGGGCCAGTGGCTGGCCATTGACCTCGCGGCCAAGGTCTGTTCAGGAGTGGCAGGGAGTTCCAAAGGCAGCAGCATTGGCAAAGGGCCTAGAAACAACAAGGCCTGTTTTGTTAACACCAACATTTATTTTGTCAAAGAACAGAGGAAATTAAACAGCCGTTTCCAGATGAAGCACTTTCTCATTTTGAGAATTGCCAGACAGGCAGGCTGACGTGTCCTCCATAACTCATGAGGGAAATGGTTCCCCCTTTTTGTTCACAAGTTGGATGAGCCCCAGAAATGCTCTTTAGAGCCCTTCAACCTCTTGGATTTAGAAGCATGCAGGAAGATCCTTGCTGGATCGGGCCAAAGCTACCCGATCCATCATCCTGCGTCCTGTTCTAAGCCAGCTGGGCACACGATGGATGAGGAGGAAAACAGCTCCTCCTCCTCAGAAACTGTTGTCCAGAAACATAGGATGTCACCAAACACAGAAGCTTTCCCTGTAAGACTTTGCCACAAAAAGTGCCACCAGCCATCACCGCCAAGGACCAGACCCCGTCCTCCTCCTTTTCCCCAGAATTGCCTTTGTTGACCTCAGAAAGAGAAGCCCCCCTCCTGCCAGCCCCACAACGTCTCCGCCTCATCTCCCCAAAGTCTTGCAGCTCCATTGGCCTCCTTGTCCTCAAATGATTGTTCATCAAAGCAAATGGCGGCAAGTTTCCATGGACACGCTCCCCGTGACACTTTGGTCAGATCTCTGGTTAATCACATCCCCCTCAGTTGCTTCCTGCCAGGGACCCCCCCCCTTCCATAGGAAAGGTCCTGATGGGATGGGCGGGGGGGGGGCTCGGGGAGCAGGAGAAAGAGCTGCTACCAGAACCATGGTTAGATAGAAGAGACCCGACTCTCTTACTATATCTGGAGGTTTTGAGGGAGTTTGGGGGGATGCCTGCTTTTACCACCCCCTCCAGCTTCTTCCCCAATTGTCTCTGGGAGCCAGAAAATGCAAGGCTATTTTGCCCGGTCAAGGTGGGTTTCCAGCTGGGCTCCATCCGCCTTTCCACAGAGGGAAATCGTAAAAGGGGTCAAATAACCAAGAGCAGTTTGAAGGGAGGCTTCCCCAGGGGCTTAAGGGGAACCACCCCAAGGCAAGATGTAATTCTGAGCCATATCCAGATCCACCTCCTCCCCCACATTCAGAGGGCCTGGTCTCTCAAGCCACCCCACCATCCTAGCTGCCCGTCCAGTAATGTCTCTCGAGACCCCCTGACTGTCACGGAAGAGCCTCAACCCCAGGCAGAGGGAGGGGGATACTTCAAGCAGCACATGCCCCACAGCCTGGGGGTGGGGGGTGGGCTGAACCTGATTTTAACAGGGTTGAAAGGGACCTCAGAGATCTTCTAGTCTACTAGTTCAACCATCTGCTTAAGCAAGATACCCTACAACATTTCGGACGAAAGTTTGTCTGATCTCTTCTTAAAAATATCCAGCAATGGAGCACCCACAACTTCTGGAGGCCTTCCACAATTAATTGCTCTCATTATCAGGAAATTTCTCCTTATCTCTAGGTTTATTTCTATACAGATTCTCAGCCCTCCAGGTCATGCTTGTCCCAAAGGTGCTTTTTCAAGAGGCGGCTGGACTTTGTTTTTCCTTGAAGACGTTTCGCTTCTCATCCAAGAAGCTTCTTCAGTTTTAGGCTGGATCTCCCTTTGATAGTTCCCATCCATTGCTTCTTGTCAGATTATCATAGAAAGAAGCTTGTAAGGAGAGGCCCCTTCGCTTAGCCTCGGGCAGGGAAGCAGCTTCTGCCTGCTGTGCTGACAGCCTTCCTGTCCCAGTCCAGAAGGGTTGGTGTCCAGTTCCTATCGGGGCCTCCCTGGAGGTGGGCCCAAACCTCTCAACCCGTCTTAGCCCAGATGAGTGGCCAGCCCCAGGCAGCCCTGGCACACCACCAGCCCCCCCCCCACTCTGGTGTTGAGAGGGTCTTCCTCGGCAGAGAAGGGGGCAGCCTGCAATGGAGCCACTCCCCATGATAGACTGGCCCCCCAATCCTCAACCTTCTCCTTCTCCCCCTCTCCAATTCCTCCTGGCCTGCAGCCCCCATAACCCTGCCAGGCTGGCCAGCCAGCCGACCACGGAAGTCGGCCAATCAGGTTGGCCAGGAACAATTCGCCCAATTACCAAATCTCCCTCTTCATTAAACCATTACGTGAGTTCAGTTGGTGACTAATTCCCCCCAATTTTAATCTATTCAAGGAACAACGTATTATTAGCAGGGGAAACACAAATTGGCAGGGAGATGCATTGACGGAGTCATTTCCTTTTAATTCAGAAATGAATTAAACAAAGCATTGTTTTATTTGTTTTTTAAATGACAAATTCTATTATCTGGGAGAAAAAAGGCTTTGGGGAAATTAAGGTCCAGTGATGGAACCTCCTCTTGACAATGTCAACCATGGGCTGTGGAGATTTGTTTGTTTTTTGACAGATGCCGAACAACACAAATTGGCAGAAAAACAAGCATTGGAGATAATTTGTGCTGGGTAAGGGAGAGGCAGGGAGCAAAGGAAGACTTTGGCTCTCGTCCAGTGCAGAGATGTGTATCCTGAAGTTTCTGCAAAGCCGCGAGCATTCAACAGGTAGAGACATGCAACAGCCATTGCATCTGGAGAGGCACCTTAGCAATCTGTCAGATGCCATTTGGATGCAAGAAATCCAGAAGAGAAAAGAGCCTCAAAAACAGCCCAGATATTTTGAAATCTCACAATCTATTGCAGTATTTCTCAACCTCATCAACTTTAAGCTGTGTGGACTTCAACTCCCAGGATTCCAGCTATCTAGAGAATTCTGGGAGTTAAAATCCACACAGCTTAATGTTGACGAGGTGGAGGAACACTGATGTATCCATCTAGACTTCCTGGGAAAGCTGGTGAAGTTCCAGAAGGCGTTGGGTGGATGGGGGGACTGGTACCCCCAGCCGATATCCCTTGCAACCAACCACGGACATGCTGGGGGAGCATGAATATCAGACCCCTGCCCTGCAACTGGGGACCCCCAGGATGCCCTCGCGGAATAAGTGTGTCTCCGGAGTCATCAGATCTTTCTGAAGGCAACTATCTGCTGCAGAAACAGCTACTTTGGCTAGCCATAAGCAAAACATTTATTACCTCCAGGGAGATTTATGGAGTTCTTTTATTTAGGAAATTTATTTCCTGTCCCTTTATAAGTTTGGGCGGCTTATAAAAATGTTATGAAATCTTCAATAAAAAGGACCAAAAATGAAAACAAACATGAACAATAAAACTAACGCTTTTTAGAGGCCTGGGAAAATAAACAAGCCTTTAACCCTAGCCCTAAATGAAGCAAGGCAGGGAATCCTACCCAACTTCCATCAGCAGTTTATTCCACAAGCAGCACAGCAGGATAGAGATCCGATTTGGGGTTAATGGGAGGCTCAACTAGACCAGAGGAGGTGGTCCCATCCATAATGTAGACCCTCCGTCCTTTGTGTGTCCTCAGAGGCTGGCTTTACACAATATGCAAAGCTTTTGCCTTCCTTTGATTTTGTGGTTCTGTGACCCATGGTTCATAGAGTAGGCTATGGGGAAAGACTCCAAAAAATTATGAATTAAGCAACAAAGCATCTTATGGGCTAGCCCAGATGAACCCAGCATAACTGAGCTTGGGACCTTTCAGGGAAAGACTTAAAGCATTTTTCCGATGAACTGAGCCGCAGGTCGCAGAGTTTACAGGACAAAAGGCCCTCCCTTTAACAACTTTTTGCTTGGAGGGAATGGAAAGACATCTCCAGGATTCTAATCACAGAAAGATATTGCTTTACTGCTGAACTCCGCTCCAAGTGCTCTTGGACATTTGCATGCATCTCATTAAATTAATCAATTTGTTTATTGGTAGCAATCTACTGCCAGAGAAAGTGGTGATCAGTGCACTGTACTGAAACTCACACACCTCTCCTTTAGTAGCAGCAATTAGATTAAATTATGTTTAGATTTTGGAAAGGCCACAAAAGACAATTGAGTCTAAGATGGAATTTTTATGTTTGCTCCCAGTTTCCCATTGCACAAACATCTCTCTCGGCTCCTAATCTGACTGCAAATATATTTGTTTTGGGTCTCATGGCCTCATGAAGCATTGCAGAGAAGTCAGGACAGCAAAAGTCCACAGGAGAAGGTGGGATATTTTTAGCAAAAACAATAACAAATATTCTTATTTAAACTTTAAACAGGTGAGGCAAGGCAAGCCAAGCCAACTATAAATCATAGACGAAGACAGGGAGGGTAATTAAAAGTCCAGTGCAATTGCTATCAGAGAGGGGTGCGGATAAACGTCTTGGCAGCCCAACCCAAGACAGTCAGGACAGAGTTTCCAGGTGCAGAAGCCATTCGTCTCCTTCAGCAGGAGGCCCTGGGAGGCCCACCTAGATTATAAACTGAGTTTCCTCTCTTGCCAGACATTTTCTGGCTTGAAAGGAAAGCCAGCTTTCTGATTTTGACAGAGATCAAAATGCAGGTATAATTTCCCAGAGTCTCTGAGATTCCAGGTGCCCAGGAAATTATGTCTCCTTGAGCCTGGGAAATTATTGGACACATGCTCCAGTATGATGTTCTGCCACACATGTCATTTTTAGAAGATCAAATCTCCACCAAGAAACTGGAACTTCTGGAAGACTACATTTCCCATGTTCCTAGATTCTGGGGATTAGGTGAGATTGAGGTCTCTTAATTTTCACGCAGTCTCACTTTCCACCCTGTTGAAGAGCCCTCTGAGACAAAGAACAAAGCAACATATGTTGTGCCTTACCTAGGCAACGTTCACCTGTTGCCTTTCAAGCCAGCATGAGTCCAAGATAGTTAGTGGAGAGGCTGCCTGTGAAGTCTCTGGGCCCTTCTAAGGTGGTCAAGATGCCCAAAGGAGGTCCAAGAAGTTCCTGCTTCACCATCTGGCTAGCTGCAACTCAGCTCTTCCTCTCCGTTGGGATTCAGCACGGTGAACATCTCCAGATGTTGCTATGAGGAGAGAAGAGAGGTTGAATGCCCAGCCACTAGATACAGTATCTTCTTCCATCAGTAGTAATCAAAATCAAGTTTTGATTTTTATCTCTGAGGGTTTTTTAAAAAAAATTGATTGTTCACTTGAATCTCTTTTTTCAATACACTTTTATTCTTTCTTTGATAATTACTGATTGTTTTAGCTTTTAAACTATTTTGACTGTGGATGCTTTTTATGGAAAAGGAAGCAAGGAACAAGCTGAATTGCAATAAATAGTCTGCATGATGACAAAGTTAAATCAAAGTAGTCCATTTGCTATGTATTTAACCCTGGGAATTTGGCCCCTGTTCAGCCATAAATCCCTTCCAGAATCCTACATTCATCAAAAGACAAGTTGAAATATCATGCTTCGAAAACCATTTATAATGCATCATATTTAAAAATACATATTTTAAAGGGGGATTGTACAATTCTTTGGGAATCCGGAGACATACAGCAAAATGTAGATGGTAATCATTCTATGTCATTCCACAATTTATGGTATGAGGAGCAAAGTAACTCACAGCAGACTTTACAAAGACTTCAAACATCTCAGATTTGACCAGAGGGGCTCCTGGCTGTGATTGTGAGCCAGAAGGCAAAATTCCATTTCCAAATGTCCCTCGAGAAAGGTTTCCTTAGTGGAAAAGGGGGGTGCATAGCACCCAACTTCACTCCTCAAAAGCAAGTCCCTTGTATTCATTCCTGTTGGCTTTCTCAAGGGATCAGCCCAGGGAGGTCAGCGTCTCCACCATCTCCAGCTCTCATCCATTTTGAGAAGCAAATTCCACAAATATTTAAATGAGCATCAACAACATCTGTTCCATGATCTTAACTAAGAATCCCTTTGCAGAGTGAGATGGGTGTCTTATAAACGTAATACATACAAAAGGTGTTCAAATGAAATTGAAATTGAAATTGTGTGTGTGTGATCCAATGAATAGAAAAATAGCCACAGAATCACAAATGAGAGGCTATTGATTGCTTACGCTGGTTTTAATCTACTGCTGCTGGCAGAGGTCAAGCCTTTGGCTTGATTTTCAGGTCTCGATAGACCCCATGTGCAGAGCCCTCGGGACAGGCTGCCAAAGGACTGGGGCACAAAGGAACATTGGCGGGGAAATAGATGGGATTGGCCCGGCTTTGCAAAATTAACCCATCTGGTGCCCATCTTTATCTTCTCTGGGTTATCACTCTCTCTCCACAAAAACCTTGCAGTGATGCTCCATCCCTCTCTCTTTGAGCTGTCCAATTATGCTCTAGCAAGGTTAGGAAGCGATGCAGGGCTTGGTAGGGGAGGGATCCAAACAGATGAAATGGCCCACTCCCCACTTCCCAGGGACCCCCACGCTTCTCTGAGCGTTTCAGAGATGTTTTCCAATCAGGCCACAAGCTGGTTGGATTCCAGTTCTCCTCAACAACAGCCAGGCAAGATGTGGATAATTAGAATCTACCCCATGCCTGGTTGGAGAATAAGGCAGACCAATTAAGTGTCCCAAACTGGAGTGGAAATCAGAACAATATACATTCTTTAATGAGCACAACTTCTATTAAGGCAGATTGCACCTCTTTAATTCAACACTTAATAAGCTAATGTAACTCCTGGCTGAACTCCAGGAATATCTAGGATCTCAGAAAGGATTTAACTAGAGGGGAAATAGCACAGTGGAGGTTCACAAAATGAGCATTGGTGCACGTCATATCATCTTATTTTGTGCCCGATAAAAGCCTTTTTGGTATTTGGCCCCTGGCATTGAAGGGAGTAACTATCACTTGTCTAAAGAACATCTAATAAGCAGTTGATATTCATCTTTAAGGAAGGATGACTTTTGCCTGAAAACAAGGACTGGGCCAGGAATGGATAAGGGAATCAACCCAGAGAGCTCGCTCACAAAATCTCTCTTTAACCACCTGAGGATTAGGAGATAAGGCAGGCTGCAGATGGAGACTCCACCAGATTCTACCATTATTCAGTTGGGCTATATTCAACCCAGTGGGATTTCCTTAGGAAAAGGAAGGCTCTACTGCTAACTTTCCTAGAATTCTCTAAAAGGACCATATTGGATGGAAAAATCTGATGTCCGCACATCTGCAGTTGATCAAATTGGAGAGTCTGGACTAAGACACCTTTACTGATTCTTGATTACAATTATTCCACCTCCAGAGCATCACCAATCATCTTTAAGACCATGGAAGCAGAGTCAATATATTGATCAATACTTCTTTGCCCATCTGGCTGTGGAGCATCTTCCTTGAGTAAAGCTTTGCCTGAGCATTACTTGACATTCAGGTTCTGGTGAGAGTCCAAAAGGGCCAGAGCAGGACAGTCAAAGCTCCTACAGGGGTGGATGATGTCTTCTCCTGGTTAGGCTTAGCAAATCTCTTGCTGGACAGCTCTTCTGCAGCTCTGACCACTTAAGTCCTGAGCTGCTGGACAGCTCCTCCAACATAGTTGGGGAATCTTCTCCAGCCTCTCCCAGAGGCATCCAGGCTACAATCTCACCCCTGCTTCATCCCAGAACTACAAAAGCTGCACTCCTGTTTGCTCCAGTTTTATTGGGCCAAATGAAGGCATTTCCAAAGATAGTTTAAGAATTCCTGCTTCTCTGTGGACCAACATGATTACCATTGTTTTCAAAACTCTTTAAAAGTTCTGCATTTAGACATCCAGGGTGGATTCTACCTGAATTTTACCTCCTGGTAGTTCAGTCCCACCATATTGTGATATCACACAATCAGGCATAATGGCCTTCCATGCAAAGGGTCCTTCAGTTGCCTCTTTCAGAGAGGAAGGATGAACAATGAAATAGGAAGCTTATTTATATTTCTCTCTAACCTCGATACCCAGATCCCTTCTAAGTGAGCATCACTCACAGAGGCACGTATTTATTCCCATAGGGTTAGGACAGGCCACTGGTTCTGGAATGGCTCCAGGCTGGAATCAATCTTCAATCAGATTCCACTCCTCCTTCCCTCCCCCCCCCCAAGGTTCTCATGTTACTCCTCTGCCAATACAAACAGACTGTCTGAAGGCAGCCTCTCCTGGGCTCCAGAGCCAGTGACATTGCCTGGGTGTTAATTAGCATTCAGGACTGTTCCTTCCCACATCTCCCCCAAGAAAGTTCAGCCTGGCAGTGATTTCTCACTCCAGCAAGAGGGAAGGTTAATGAAGAAGTAACTGGCTTGGGCTGCAGAGCAGAACGATGCAACGGGAAAGGCACCGGGTTGGCTCAAAGGATGAGGAAACCATGGCAGATAATCTGTTGGACTCACATAATCAAACTTCATTCTCCAATTTTCACCTTTCAGATCTGTTGGAATGCAGTTCCGTAACCCACCAGGTCTTTTGAGAGTTATAATCTAAAGGTTACAATTCAGGGAATAAAATAAACTCATCAATGGTCTTTCTGACTGATGATTCCTAACATCTTTGGCATCATCTGTCTTCACATTTTCATTCACTTAATGTTTATCAAGTGGGAGTGAACTACGGAGAGTCCAGATTCCCATTTTACTGATTCAGAATTATCTAAAGACCTCTCCAAAAATAATAATATAAAAGACTCAGAAAGGCCACATTTGACTAGAAGTGTGATTAAATATAACAACAGAAAACACAGATGGGGTTTTGTCCCCTCATCCCTTAATGGATGCAGTGCATTGAATAAAACTAAGCTGAGATATATTCTAGCTAGCGAGATTATTTTTCTTTATTTTTCCCTTTTTCTGAGAGAATTCTGGCCTCCCAAGGGCCTTGATATTCAGGAAACCACTAAATTAATCACTGCCAAGGAATGAATGGGAAACACAGCTTAACAGTTGCAGATAGTAAGCATCCATTTTTGGACTGGGGAGAGCTGGTGTCCAGTAGAAGTCACAGTGACATCATGGTGTCCTTGCACAAATGATGATGTCATTTTGAGGAGGCTGCTAGTTTCCTCCTGTTTCTCCTTCCACCCACCTGCTCGCTGTCTCATAGCTCTCCTCCTGAAAGTGATTCCTACAAATAATTTTCCATTAAATGAATTTGTTGGAAAGTAGCACAGCTTTAAAGTGCTCCCGAAAGCAATTTATCTAAGATGATTTTCAATCTCCAGTCCAACTGTGAGGATGGGGGGGGGAAAGATTAAAAATAAAAACTCGCTTTTCTAAAATCCCATGTAGCTCATGTACCATGTAATGGTCTTTATCGGTATAGGCAGCTGTTTGGACTGGCTAAAAGGACGGTCTGCATCCCAAATTTACAGCCAGTCAGTCTCAAGTTCAAGCTAATTTAGCTTTCTGAGCTGGGCTCCACTTGCAAAAAATTGTCCAGGAATTCGCCTGCGACATTTTGGAGACCGTACCAAAATCCCTCCGGTTGGTTAGCTGGCATTACCAAATATAGACTGATAGTACTTTAGCAGCTTTCCCTGGGATTTTAGGATACCTGTGCTATTTTTAAATCCTTGGGTGGGGCTTTATTTATGATATACCACTGTGGCTGTTTTAAATAGAAAATTGAGAGTAGAAACATTTCTGTAATATTATTATTATCAACTTCCAATATTTCACAGTTGAAAGAAAAATATCTTAGGGAATTATAACAAACATTCTTTCCAGCTGCCTCTCTTTTAAAAATAAACATAATTAACTTTTTTTTAAAGACGTATGTTTATGATGAATCTAGTTGGGAATCTGGTTGGATGCAGTTGGGAAACAAACTGAGTAACTTAGCTATAATCTGTGTCAGTGTTTCTCAACCTTGATGACTTTAAATTACATGAAGAAGCTGGCTGGGGAATACTGGGAGATGAAGTCCACAAGTCTTAAAGTTGCCAAGGTTGAGAACCCCTGCATTAGACTATCCAGAAAGCACGATTGCTATAAAATGAAAATGATACAGTCTGCAGATTAATTTGATGTTTGAAGAATTATTAAATATTATCATCTGCCAGTGAAAAGTTAACCCCAAGCCCACTTCATCAGCCCCCTCGGG